AGTGTCGCAAACATAAAAATGTTTTTATTTAATATAAATATGTTCACTTGTATCTATATTTTCCATTTTACACTAATTAATTATTGTAAACACAATTGAAATAATACGCACTCAAAGTTGACTAAGCACCACAGAAATATAAGCATATTTATAGAATAAATTATATTGAGCGACTTGCACGGCCAGCTGTGTAACGGTACCTCATATTTAACACTAATAAATATCACGTCTCTCTATTTTGGAGTGTTCTTAATACAAAAACAACAACAACTCGTGAAAAGCGACACTTTGATTTTTTCAATTTTACACAGAAAAACCGGTCATTTTACCTATAGTGGATTGACACGACGTTTTGCAATGTAACCAAAGTGGTGAAGGTTATCATATTGACGGCTCAGCCGACTTTACTACTTTCCTTAATGGTTTTATAATTTATATTTATAATGCAAATTTATAAAAAAAAAGTATCGGACTCATGTTGAAATTTGACGTAGAATATTTCACCATTTAAAATTTCTGTGCCTTTTTTATAATTTTTTGTCCTAATTTTCGGTATTATATATTGGATATACCGATTTCTCGTGTTCAAAGACATATACTAAAATTTGATGAAGAATATTTTTGGCCTTTATACCATTTTTCTAAAACGACATCTAGTCGAAATGAGTTTTCATATTTGTAAGATTTTTGGCGTTTAGGCTAATTTTTGAGTTTTGATCTATTCTGAGATATATAGTAAAAATTTATGGCGAACATTTTTGTAGAATATTCTGACCTTACAAACTTCTGGAGAAGGGGACCGAAAATACCCCTTCAGAGTCGACTGAGTGTTAACGTAGTAGACAAAAATATTACACACATATGTACGTAAAACGCAAGGATTTCGAGAAATTTAATCAGAAAATGTCAAAAACCTGGGAAACCCAAACATAAACTTTTAAATGCCTATACTCTTTTCTTCTATTTGTAGCGCCTGTATCATTTTTTTATAATTTCCCGATAATTATTTTTGGTGTTGCACAGTGTTTTCTGCCGCGTGGTTTATTATTTATGGAATAAAGAATATAATTCAATCAATGTTATAGTATAAATTTGTATACATTATTATTCGACATATAAAGACGTGTATATCATGCACCTACTTAAATAAAAAAAAACATTTTCCAAATCACAAATTAATTTGAATTACAAAAAAATATACATTTTGGCAATCATGATTATAGACAATAATTTATTTCACAACATGCTTCGACAAATGAATACATTGGCCATTATGTTCTCTTACTTATTAGCTATTATCACATGCTGGGAGCATCCTACTTTTCTTCGTCTTCTTCTTCATCGCAAAATAATAATCAAACAAAAAAGAAAAACATGATAATAATCCCCAAAACGGAGATCTATAAATGGGTGGTACGTGCTCACCATAATTCAACATCAGCAACAATTTGTGGTAATTAGGATTTTTTTGGTGTGAGTACATTATGCTCGGCCATACTTACTTGATTGGTCGGATGGTAGTTTTAGTCAAGTGCACAAAATAACATATCGAACACATAGACACACACACACAAATATACAATGTATTTAGTAGAACAAAAATCAAAGATGACCGGATGTGGAATGATATAGCAAATGGAAGATTTTAATAAATCGCAATTGAATACATTTTCTAATATAGAGAACAGTCCATAATCCATTTCATTTACTCGAAGATGAGATTGATTGTAAATGAAAAATGTATACTTTGGCTTTATGGAAAACAAATTACAAATATTATTCTACTAACATTATTTTGAAAGTCTACTAAAATTATTTTTGTTAAAGAGGTGTTTTCTCAAGCGCATAAAAATTACTTCTGGTATGGCTTCTTGAAAAAAATATGTGAGAAGGAAAAAATGAATTAAAAATTCTCCGGCCTTAGATACAGCTTTCAGAATTTAAATCGTGGGGTTTTCGGCTAGCAATGATGGAGTGATAATCGTTAAAGATTGTTATGCTTAGTAAGCACCGAAACAGTTGAACAATATGGGCGGCCAAAGGAAGTTGTTATAGACGAAGGCATAAACATGATCTATAGCATGATTGTAAATCTGCTATTCCTGAAGAAACAGTTTATCCTCTAAGAACATTGAACACCAAATGTTAAGAACGGTTCGAAAATGCAGTTAGTTCCATAAAAATATATACAATAACACAATACTTTTATATGAGGAGTGGACCTATATTGAAGAAGCTTTTATCCTTCTAAACCAGGGCATACCAAATTACAGTCCTTCCGACAAAAAATACATCCTTGAGGAATTCTAAATTATGGCGGGCCAAGTCGGAATCTGGACATGCATCGGTGATTGGCAAGCATTTTATTTCTTATATCAAGTTTATACGAAGGAAAGAGATAAACAACTATAATGTGTCATTTGTTTGCAGGCTGGTCGATCATGAGATATATCAGTTCACGATTTGGGATCGTCTCCAAAATTTTCTATGAATTTTGGACATATTTTTCAACTTAAATACATTCATTTCATATTTAGATCTTTCTACTTAAAATTACCAATATCGGTCTACATTCGGTATTAGAAACTTTTCAACCGAATCGGATGCATATTAATATCTTGGGTTCTCAGATCTTCCCATAAACGCGTACCATTATTAGTCTAGTGACCAATAGTGTCGTGGATTGTGGGGAGATTTTCGGAGGAAATGACCGAGTACCCAAGATTCCAGGAACGATGAAAAGAGATTGGCGACCCTAAATAAACATTTAGTAGGTATTAGGTCACCTTCTTACTAATGTGTCCCCCCCCCCTACGTTGGGTGGGCAGTCAGGATCAGGAGACCGACTGCATACGAACGGAGTCTTATGGAAACTTGATCGCGTCACCAAGTCATTCCGGCTCACTGGCCAAGTCCTTACCATGATACAAGCCCAGGGTTCACCTCAAATCTGTTGTCAAAAACTACTATACAGCCCTACCTAAACACCCTTCTCCAATAGTGTCGCGGACTAATAGTGGATTTTTGGCAATAGTTTCGGAGAAAATGATCGAGTACCCACGATCCCAAGATTGATGAAAATGGATTGGTGACCCTAAATAAACATTTAATAGGTCTTAGGTCACCTCGTTCCTAATGCGACCTCCCTTACGATGGGTTTGCAGTCAGGATCAGGAGACCGACTGTATACGAACGAAGCCTTGTTGAAACATGAGCGCCTCAGCCAGTCATTCAGGCTCACTGTCCAAGTCCTTACCATGATACGAGCCCTGGGTCCACCTCAAATCTGTTCTCAAAAACTACTATGCAGCCCTACCTAAGCACCCTCTCCACTCTTCTAAAAACAAAATTAATGAATAAAAGCAATATTACGATTGAAGTTGGTGTCACTGTCCTGGCGCCCCTTAGTCTCGACCACTAGAAAAGCAGCTACAAAAACGAAATTAACCCACCTCTTATTTTAATGAGCCACTGGTTTGGGACTGCATAAACTTGAGTCTGAAGAGACACTCGAACCTTCTCCACGATCCAAATGAGGGCCGGCTGCTTCTGCCTCAGTCAAAAAAAGGTTTCCGACCAACCTCTGGGAAGGAATTCCTGATCGAATAGGACATGCATTTTGGTGAGGATGGAAATTCCAACTTCATGGAAGGCTGTGGCTTTTCGAGACTTCCGAGGCAAATGACCATTGAAGTTTATGCTAGTATTGATGACATTTCCATTGAAGTGATAGCTGACTTATCAACACAAGCAATCAACAAACGTGCCAATACAAAGAAAAGTCTCCAATACAAAAATCTACCGAAGAACGGTTAACTTCTGCAAACGGTTCATCGAACGAGATAGGGACTCGTTTACCAAAAAGGATTTCCTTTAGAACAAGAGGATCCTCAAATTCATTCAAAAGTGCACACGAAACTATCCGATTGACATGACAAGCGACTTCTCGACATAGCTTAGTTTTCATATCAATGTTAACATCTGTAACCAGTTCATCGAACCGAAAGTTCTCATGGAATTATCCGAATGACATTGTGAGGGACTTCCTTATCGAAAGAATTCCGAAGTAGCATAGTTTTCACCTGTTGTAATAAGGCTATCTTCAGAAGGTCAAATTGTATGATAGACTATTGTAGGCACGTATTTCACTCCACCAATAATTATCATTTATCAGGCGATGATGGAGGTTCCCACACCATGGTGGGCAGTGTTTTTTTAACATTCGACCATTAAAGTGGATACTAGTGTTGATGACCTTCACATTGAAGCATTTGTGAGTCATCAACACAAGCAATTACCAAACATGTCAATTCCTAAGAAGTCTTCGACATAAAGATCTACCAAAGAGAGGTTAGCTACAGCATCCTGTTCGTCGGACGACATAGGGACTGGGTTACCAATAAGGATTCATTCAGCTCTACGGGAACCTCAAATTAGTTCTAACGGAACTATTCGAATGATATTGCGAGGGTCTACTTGATCGAAAGCATTCCAATGCTTCTTGATGTTCGTTCTTTATAATGAGTTTTACTTCCGAAGGGTAAATTGTAAGATGGACTATGTTGGTCCACGTTTAGGCATATGACGACAACTCCGGTTGTAGATATTTTATTATACCCTACTATAAGATTCTGAAAGCACGTCGTGTATATACCTTGTCCTTACAGGATTTTCTCATTGACAGATCTCATACAATATTAATTTAAAAATCTTCCATATCTATTTGTCCACATCCGATTTAAATACAAATATAATAGCCAAAAAATTAAAACATGCCACACATACATATATATTGGAAGTGAAAATAAAAACGGAAACGCAGTTAACACAACAAATTTTTAGAGAACATAAAAAAGAACGAGCAACAAATATGTAAGAAAATAAAACGCCGTGCAACGAACAACAAACATCATGCACATAGACACATAATTATATATGCATATTCCAGCTAATTACTGCCCTATTTGGGCCCAAGTCATTCTCAAAAATGTGGTACTCACAGTCTGTGGCATGACGTTATTTTGTGAAGATCCCGCATTATTACTTTGTTGTTGCTGTTGCGTTGAAGGATGTTGCAAGAACACTAAAGGTCCAACTAAATTATGAGCTGGTGATCCGGTCGAATTTCCACCAGCCATACCCGACACAGCCTTGCCATGAGTCATCAATGCTTTTGGTTGTTGAACAATAGCTTGATTTGCTTTTCCTGATAATGAATTTCCCGCTACACAACTATTATCGAATTGATAATACATGACATCGGTGGCTGGGGCAGCTCCAGCATATAGATTGCCACCACCACTGGGATTATTACTGCCATTCGATTTGTAACAATTCGGAGGTAATGGATCAGCTGTTTGGGCTCCAGAAATGTGATAGGCTGTTGGTTGATTATTTGACGATTGTTGTTGTTGCTGCTGCTGGGATGATGAGGACGACGAAGATTGGTTTGGTGGTAGCTTATTATTGCTGTTGTTGGTATTCCTAACAAATTCCGGCATGTGCGGCATTTTATAATTATAAATAAATGGTGGCTCATATTCATTGTGGGCCGCCGCCGATGTTGGATAGGCCAAAAATAGATCCGATTTGGCCGGATGTAAACGTGAATTGAAACCAATGCCCGGATATTGAGCACTTATCAGCGGATAACCTATACTGCCGAGCGGCGGATAATTATTGCCACCCGTCAAGAGTTGAGTCTTGGTAATGGCTTGACCGGACAGACGTCGTGTGGGTACCCCCAAATCCGATTTGGCATCACGTTTCTTGGCATGCACGGCCACGGAAGAGGGTCCCTGATAGTAATAGGGGGCAGCCGGTGTATTTGGCCATTCTACAAAATGATCAACATGATGGGGAGTATTAGTAAGGGAACCACCGCCACCACCACCACCGAGACTTGCAATACCACTGTTACTACTATTGGCACTAATACTACCGTTACTGCCCCCAGCCAGAGGCCGTGTTGCTGTTGCGGCATTGTTCAGACTGAATTTATATTGATTGTTCTCAAATGTGGTATAATTCAGTAGACGATGGCTGGGCATTGATTTCTCAATGCCGCCACCGCCGCCACCAGTTGCCCCACCACCTTCTTTATCGGCGCGCTGTTGTTTGGATGATGCAGTCGTCTGGTTTGTGGGCTGCAGGATGCAGTTTGGGAAATTGTGCGTTTCGGGATGGTTCATTGGTTAGTTAGTTGAGAGTTTGGTTTTTGTGTGTTGTATGTTTGAGAGAGAGAGAGAGGTATGAAACAAAGGTTGGCATATAGAGTAATGTTAATTTTTATTTTTTTCTAAAAGCAAAAACAAAAAGTAATGCTGAGGAGGTTGGTTGTCATTTCCACAACATTTGGTGTTAATGGCATTATGGCAACAACTACGAACTAAAAAAAGAAATAACAACAAAAACAAATTGTGTTCTAAAATAGGGAATCATTTACCGTTACTAGATGACTATTAACTGCTGCACCACAGGATGTATTAACGGATTGATGTTGGTGATGTGACTGATGCTGCTGTTGTTGTTGGTTAGTGCTGGGGTATTTGCTGTAATTTGGCTTGGTTTGGTTTGGCGTTTGGTCATGGCGTCTATTGCCATAAAATGAGTTTTGTCGATGTTGTTGTTGCTGCTGCTGTTGTTGTTGTTGCTGATGATGATGTTTTTGATTACTCACAGTCTGTTGCATAAGGCTATTGTAAGCTTGGGAATTACCACCTCCATTAATAGAGGATTTACGATGGCTACCGCTAGAGGCCCCAGAGGACTTGTTAGTACCATACCGTGTACTATCACTTGATCTAGACGGGGTGGTAGTGTAGAGTGTCGTTTATTTATGTTTTCCCGGTGTTAACATTTTTTTGTTTGTATATAAAACAAACACAGCGGAAAAATTGGATTTCAAATGTTGTAAATGTATGGTTGGGGTCATCAGCCAAGCAACACCATATGCCACATAGGGATGCAGGGTCAAAACGTTACACATAAAAATGAATAGTTTTAGTGGGTAGAACGGTGGATGGAGGTAGGCATGGAGAAAAAAAAGGTGTAATAAAGGACAAACATTAGTTATGTGTTTTTTCTGGGTTGTAGAAATATTTTTGGCTTTGTGTTGGGGGCAAAAATTGCACATTTCTGCTTTTAAATAGTTAGCTTATAGTGTTGTGGTTATTTTAGTTTATTAGTAGAAATGGCAAATACAAATTAGAAAAATCAATTCATACCTTTCAGATGAATAAGCATAATCCTGATCGGCTCCCAACCCAGAATCGGTATGTTCGTGTGATACACGTAATGCTGAATTCTCCATGGGACTGAGATTAGAACCAGTCGGTGATATGAAATCACCCATACTCATGCTGGACATCATTCTGCAATAAAATGAAATATTAGGATATGGTAAAAGGTGTTGAATAGAATAGAATAAATCAATTTTTTCAACAACGAAAGTGGTGCGATTTTAAGATAACTACAAAAGGCTTGAATTTATTGAAAATATTTTTCAAGGACCTCATAAGGCGCGGATTTATAAATACTATTTTTTCAAGAACCTCATAAGGCGTGTATTTATAAATAATATTTTTACAAAGACCTCATAAGGTGTGGATATATAAATAATATTTGTTTTCAAATATTATATTAGGCCTGATTTTTGCAGAATAGTTTGTCAAGGACAATATAAGGCGTTGATTTATTAATAAATATTTTTTCAAGGACAATGTAAAGCGTGGGTTTTTGAAACAATTTTTTTGAGGACATCATAAGGTGTGGATTTATGAAACAATATTTTTCAAGAACTTTATAAGGCGTGGATTTATGAAACAACATTTTCAAGGACCTCATAAGGCGTGGATGTAAGAAACAATATTTTCAAGGACCTCAAAACGCGTGAATTTAGGAAACAATATTTTTCAAGGACATCATAAGGTGTGGATTTATGAAACAATATTTTCCAAGGACCTCATAAGGCGTGGATTTATGAAACAATATTTTTCAAGGACCTCATAAGGTGTAGATTTATGAAACAACATTTTTCAAGGACCTCATAAGGCGTAGATTTATGAAACAATATTTTTCAAGGACCTCATAAGACGTAGATTTATGAAACAACATTTTTCAAGGACTTCATAAGGTATGGATTTATTAAATAATGTTTTTCAAGGGCCAACTGAGGCGTGGATTTATTAAATAATGTTTTTCAAGGACCTCATAAGGCGTGGATTTATTAAACATTATTTTTTTCAATGACTTCTAAGACGTCATGAGGCGGGGATTTATTAAATATATTTTAATGACTTCCAAGACCTCATGAGGCGTGTATTTATTAACAACATTTTTTTCAAGGACTTCTAAGATCTCATGAGGCGTGATTAACAATATTTTTTCAAGGACTTCTAAGATCTCATGAGGCGTGGATTTATGAAACAATATTTTTCAAGGACCTCATATAGCGGGGATTTTTGAAACAATATTTTTAAGGACCTCATATAGCGTGGATTTTTGAAGCAATATTTTTCAAGGACCTCATAAGGCGTGGATTTATGAAACAACATTTTTCAAGGACCTCATATAGCGTGGATTTTTGAAGCAATATTTTTCAAGGACCTCATAAGGCGTGGATTTATGAAACAACATTTTTCAAGGACCTCATAAGGTGTGGATTTTTGAAACAATATTTTTCAAGGACCTCATAAGGCGTAGATTTATGAAACAATATTTTCCAAGGACCTCATGAGGCGCGAAATTATGAAACAATATTTTTCAAGGCCTTCTAAGACCTTATGATGCGTGGATTTATGAAACAATATTTTTCAAGGACTTCTAAGACCGCATGAGGCTTGGATTTATGAAACAATATTTTTCAAGGGCCAACTGAGGCGTGGATTTATGAAACAATATTTTTCAAGGACTTCTAAGACCTCATGAGGCGTGGATTTATGAAACAATATTTTTTAAGGACTTCTAAGACCTCATATGCCGTGGATATACTATCAATATTTTTTTAAGGACTTCTAAGACCTCATAAACCGCGGATATACTATCAATATTTTTTCAAGGACTTCTAAGACCTCATAAGCCGTGGATATACTATCAATATTTTTCCAAGGACTTCATAATGCGTGGACTTATTAAATATATTATTAGCAGAACCTCATAAGTCGTCGATTTATTAACTATATTTTTACAAGTACCTCGTACGGCGTGCATTTATGAGGAATATTTTTTCTAAGACTATTATAGGCGAGGATTTATTCAGATTATTTTTTCTAGGACTACTTAGGCGTGAATTTATTCAGAATATATTTCAAGGGCTTCATAAAGTGGATTTATTCAAAATATTTTTTCGAGGGGCTCATAAGGCATAGGGATTAATTGAGAATATTTTTTCAAGGGGCTCATGAGGCATGGAAATAATTTGAGAATATTTGTTCAAGGGCTTCAAAAGACATTGATTTATTAGGAATATTTTTCGAAGGATCTTATGTGCAAAATCGAAATATATTAAGGGACTTTGGTGCACCGTTTGCATTAAATCGGACGAATATATATATGGGAGCTATATCTAAATCTAAACCGATTTTCAGGAAACTTAACACACATCATTCTAGACCTAATTCATTACGCTGTGCCAAATTTCGTGCAAATAGAGATATATATAGGGACAATGGTACACTATTTACATTAAATCGGACGAAAATATATATGAGAGCTATATGTAAATCTGAACCGATTTTTCCTAATTTCTATAGGGTTTGTCCTTGGGCCAAATAAGTCACCTATGCCAAAGTTCATCCAATATATTCGACCTGTACTTTGTTCACAAAAATACATGGACGGACAGAAAGTGATTCTGTGCATATTATCAAAAGGGACCATTTGTCTATCTCGTTTCCTTTTGCCTGTTACAAACATATACAAAGACATAATACCCTGTACCACAGTGTGGTGGTGGTTTTTTATTTATAGAACTCCTCTGGCTACAGAAGAGCACCTTCTTCTAGTACAAAATATCTCCCTCTAGAAACGATAAGAAAGAAATTTACTCACCTCACTAAACCGCTATTACGATCACATTCCCTTGACGATATTGTACTGGCGGAACGTATTGAACCATTTTTGGCACCATTACTATCATTGGGATTAGAATTTTGGTAACATAAGCTACGGTATACACAATACGATAATAACATAATACAATGAAAAAAAAAAAAACACCAAAGACCCGAAGGCCTTTGAAGCATTACAAACCATAACCACAAACAAATACTTACCCTCTTATGCGATCGACACGATTTTTACCATGGCCACTTATCGAACCACCACCACCACTACCATTTGTAATGGTATTACCCGAACCGGTACTTTTACCTCCCACACTATTCTTGCTATTACTCTTGTGTATGCGTATATTGGAATTGGAACGTTTCGAGGTTGTCTCCACCACGGTGTAGGGGATTTCGCGTAACTGATCTTCAGTCATGCCAGCTGTATCGACTAAATCAAATTGTAAATGTTTGGCCAATTCACTGTTCCATATGCGATTCCGCGAATCGGAGGGGGATCTAAAAAGGAGAATTTTGAAATATTTTAAATCTGTTTTAAAATACTGGTGTCTTCATTTTACTTATTCTTTTTGTGCCTCCTCGACTTGTGATGTGAATGTGTATCCGAATGTGAGTCATTGCTGTGTAGACTGCGAGCAACCATACTGCTCTTGGACACAGATGCCTGTTGCACCGAACTTTGGCCTAGACTAGCTTCTTGCTGACGCCGTTGAGCTTCACGCCATTGTGTACTCGAATCGACTAGCTCGGAATGTGAACCAATAGCACTAGCACTACGTGCTGTTGATGATCGGTGGCCGGAATAACTACGACCCCGGGTACTTTCATGATCGGAACCGCCTGAGTCACGTCGATGACGTGACCGTCGATGTTTACGATGATGTGAACGTCCGGAACGGCCAGAACCACGTGATAATTCACTTTCGTTGTCGGATGTTCGGCGGTGACGATGTTTGTGTCTGCGGGGAAAAACAAAGGAATATAATGAAATTTTATTAAGAATATTTTTTCTAGGAATAATTATTAAGAATAATTTTTCAAGGACTATATAAGGGGTGTATTTATTGAAAATATTTCTCAAGCTCCATATAAGGCGTGGATTTATTAAAAATATTTTTCAAGCTCAATTTATTAAAAATATTATCAATCTTGGATTTATTAAAAATATTTTTTCAAGCTCCATATAAGACGTAGATTTTGTTAGATTTTTTTCCAAGTGCCATATACTGTTATTGTATATATCACTATGTGGTTAAATGCTATAATTAATTCAAGCTTCCTGGTCCGCAAAAATCACTAAAACCACCTTGCTTGACGAAAAATTCCATCACCTCGCCAATAAATTCCTTGTATAATATCTCCCATTTATTATTTATATACGTTTTTCCTGACCTATCACTAGCAAGAAAAATATATTTAATATTCATTATTCTGACAAATTCAATTACCTTCGCGTTGAACGTGAATCATTTGAGGAATGACTCTCCACTGAACTAGATCGATATCGCTGTTGCTGCTGCTGTTGATGATTATGCGTTGTCGATGCTGTCGAGGATACGTGATCACGTTGCGATGAACGTGAATGCGTATGATGTGAATGTTGATGATGATGGTGACTACTACCGTTGTGGCCGAGACTTCCGCCACCACCTCCTCCTCCACCACCACCTGTGATGCTGGCCGATCTCACCGAACGTGGACTTGATGGCTTGTTGCCAAATAACGAACGCTGTTGAGTCCTTGGCCAGGGTGCACTACGAGTACTACGCGGAGAATCAGGTGCTTGCATGGAATTGTTGTTGTTGTTGCCACCATTGTTATTGTAATTACTTTGACTATGCGGCATTGTATGCTGTGCTGATGATGATGGCTGATGGTGATAGGGATTAATGCCCAGACTAGTTGGTATACTGTATGTGGATCGATAGGGGCTTTCGTAGGTGCTGTAAACAAAAAATATGGATAAGAATAAGAATACGAAAAAAATCACAAAAATGAGATGGATGATGGTGAGAAAGAAGACACGCCATTTACTAGATAACCACCACCAGCAGAGTATTCGTCTGCCAATGACGACATAACTGATGAGGGGTTACATGGCCACCAATAAAAATTGATCAATTACATTGCCATAAATATAAATTGTTTAATCATAAATCTAAATTAAAGGTAGTTAGTTACATGCAAACGAAAAAACACACGTACACACACACACACCCAGTCTTCATTTCTGGGTGTGTGTGAAGTTACAACATCATCCAGACATATGGACCTCCTATGTTTAAACAACAACATACAGATTCGCTCCACCTTAACGATCTACATATGATCAATTTTATTTTTTTTCGTCTTTTCGTAACCACTAGCCGAACGAATGCGGGAAAAACGCAAAATATTGCAAAGAAAATCGGAAAATGATCGGTATGAAAAATGAAGAAATGTTATGTGTTTGTAATTGAGTAATTACCTAGGCGATTTGTTTCGTTCTGTTATAGAGTTTACAATCGTTTCCTAAATGATACAGTGTTGCGAAAACAATAAATTCTCTGTCGATTTACTCATGTCCGTCTGTTGAGATCACGATAGAGCTCGCAATACATAAGTTACAGCTCTGATATTTTGCACATACATTGTTAGAACTTCCCGATATAACGGTAAACCGAAGGATTTGGTGCAGACACATCCTCCTGTAGAGATGAAGATGGAAACCTGGTGACAGATACCGACAGCGTGCTGAGGATCTGGAAGGAGTATTTTGAAAAACTTCTGGTATCAAATAGTAGGGATGAAGAGGATACACCCGAAACCAATAATAGATGACGGTGTATAGTGTATACCACCTAGCTAAGATGAAGTCAGAATAGCAATCAATCAGCTGAAGAATAATAAAGCAGCAGGTACCGATGGTTTACAAGCCGAACTATTCAAAACTGGTGGCCATATGCTGGTAAGGAGCATGCACCAGCTGATTAGTACAATTTGGCTAGAGGAAATCATGCCCAATGATTGGAACCTCAGCATCCTGTGTTCCGTGCACAAACAGCAGACAAGACGATATGTGCCAACTATAGAGGAATAAGTCCCTTCCTATCGCATATAAAGTGCTATCCAGCGTGTTGTGTGAACGATTGAAGCCAATGGTTAACGTCATTATAGGACCATACCAATGCGGCTTTAGACGTGGCAAGTCCACCATTGACCAGATTTTCACTCTGCGCCAAATCTTGGAAAAAAACCCACCAAAAACACATCGACACATTCCACCTATTTGTCGACTATAAAGCCACATTCGATAGTCCTATCCGTTCAAAGGTGTTTAAAGCCATGTCTGTGTTTGGCATTCCTGCAAAATTAATTCGACTATGCAGAATAACTTTAACTGGCACAAGATCAGCAGTTAAAGTCGGAAAGGACCTTTCGGAGCCCTTTAATACCGAACGAGGATTCAGACAAGGTAACAGTTTGTCGTGTGACCTTTATAACATCCTGCTGGAAAAGGTCATACGAGTGGCAAAGGTGAACAGAAATGTCACTCTGTACACCAAACAACACATGTTACTTGCCTACGCTGATGACATCGACATAATGGGTCGAACATTGAGAGCGTTAACTTCCAACTTTTGAACAAATTGAGAAGGAGTCTGCCAAAGTGGGTCTGGCAGTAAACGGCGAGAAGACCAAGCTGATGGTATCAACGCGCAAGACGTCCAGTAGACTGGGATCAACTGTGGAACTTGAGAACTGCGGCTTCGAGGTAGTCGAAGATTTTATATACCTTGGTACCGCAATAAATAAAACGAATGACATTAGTTTTGAAATTCAGAGAAGGATAGTGCTGGCCAACAGATGCTACTATGGTCTGAGTAAGCAACTCTAATGCAAGCCCACCTCCCGCCAGACCAAACTCACAGTCTACAAGACGCTGATACTACCCGTGCTATTATATGCAGATGAGGGTGTTTGAGGGAAAAATTCTCCGATAGATCTATGGGTCGATCTGCGTTGACGGTGAATATCGCCTTCGAATGACCCATGAGCTGTACCAGCTATTCTCGGACATCGACATTGTTAGACGTATTGAGCTGCAGCGACTACGTTGCCTAGGTCCTGTTGTGAGAATGGATGAAGACGCCCCAGCCCAAAAGGCATATAAAAGCGAACCAGCTGATGGTGTACGTAGAAGGGGAAGGCCACGAATAAGATGGAAAGATCAAGTGGAAGATAATACTGCCGAATATGATCTTTCAAACTGGAAAATCTTTTTTAAGCTCGGCTTATGGAACGAAAGTTCTGTCACAAGGCAGCTAAGAGAAGAGTTAAAAAAGCTTAATACTCTTAAATGGGCCTTGAGCCTTAAATGGGCTTTTTCAATAAAACAATTCGGTATATCAAAACATGAGGCTTGGACCCATAAGAATGCAAAATATTAAATTCAATTCGATTGAAAAGACAGCCCAAAATACTGAATAATGGTGTGTACCGTTGTGTGGAGTATATCCCGAAACTTTGGCCAATATCGATTTTTATTGGTAGGAGGATTTTTACCTAATATAAAGACAGAATATAAAATTGCAATCAATTTGGTTGGAAAACCAGCAACCAGGCGCAAGATTCCGAATATTGTGTATTAACCGAAAATATTTTTAATATTTTTAGGTTATACAACATTCCCTTGTTCCATATATGCCAATATACTTAGGTAGGTCTTGGATTATTCTCTTATCATCAATTATTCCCCAAGTAATCTGCTGATACTTCATGTCTCGAAACACTGTCTCAGTTTTTTTCAAAATGTCTGGGAATAAGTTTTTTGGAGTTTCATGTAACAGACGCTGAATAATGATTATTTGGTTTGGTTCCGCCATAATTGTGGTTGGCAACATTTTTTTCTGCTTTGGTCAGCCTGCAATTGGCCAGTGGTGGTGGTGTGCTATTTGTAAAAACATGAACTGATTTTTTTTGAGTTAAATACTTGTAATTTTTCACCGTTTGGCATGTTTGTTGAAATGTACTGAGGACACAGTGTTGAGCGATCAGTCAGCCAGCCAGCCGGACGGCCAAACAGATTCCGACCATTTTCACCGTTGTTCATTTCAGATGAATGGTAATTTTTTTCCTTATAGCTTTTTTGGATTTTCATTCTTTGGTGATTTTTCACATTATTTGTATGATTTATATGGACCCATTTAAAGTCAATTTGTTTACCAGGAGTTTCTTTTGTTTCAGTTTTGCCTCTTTTCTGGTCGCGTATTGCAACCAACAATTATTCCAACAATACCAATTCCAGTATTCTACTGCAGGAAGTTACTCAAGAGAAATAATACACACAGAAAGAATGATTTCTTGTTGTGGGTTTTTTTTTTTTTTTTTGGTGTCCACTTCTCTTGTGGCCACATTCGGTGATTTAATGTTATTGGTTTTTAAGTTATGGTCAATTTACATTACATTGCTGGAAGATTTTTCTCTTCACTACAATTGAGGTTTGGATAGGAAATGACAGAGTTTGGTCAGTAAAGTTGGTTGTGTGGCTAAGGGGGATTTATAAAATTATTTATTTTCTTTTTTTACTTGAAAATAAATAATATAGCCAAAAACAAAATGTCTCAGTAGAATTGGGATCAATTAAAGCCAACGAATTTCAAGGACAAGCTGGACTGAGCCTTTTTATATCCTCCACCATAGTATGGAGGGTATATTAGTTTTGTTTTCCCGTTTGTAACGCATCGAAAGAATCATTTCCGACCCTATAAATTCGATGACGATCTAAGCATGTCCGCCTGTCTGTTGTAATCACTCTATCGTCTAAACGAATTGAGTTACAGCCCCAAAATGTTGCTATATCGGTCCACGTTTAGGCATAGCTCCCATATAAGGGTACCCCCAATTTTCGGTATTTTAAGGTTCTTGAGCGTGTTTTTCAACGGAATTCGGACCTATAAATATAGGTCCATTTTTTCGGATAGCCCCCATACAAGGTTATCCCCCAATTTTCGGTATTTTGGGGTTCGTGAGCGCGTTTTTCAAATTCGAAATTTTGAATTCGCTGAAATTTGGAATTTTGTAGTCGCATATGGTAACGAATCTCTCTACCAAAAATTATAAATATGTGTCCATTTTTTCGGATAGCCCCCATGTAAGGGTACCCCCAATTTTGCGGTATTTTGGGAGTTTTGATCGCATTTGTCGACCGAATTCGCTGAAATTTGGTACTTTGAGTTCTTATTGGGTATCAAATCTCCCTACAAAAAATTAGAAATGTAGGTCCATTTTTTCGAAATACGAATTAAAAAAATATAGGTGCACTTTTTCTGGTAGCCTCCATATAACGGTACCTACTAATTTTCAGTATTTTGGAGTTCTTGATCACTGAATTGGCTCTAATTTAGCATTTTGAGTTCTTAATAAGTACCAAATCTCTCCACAAAAAATTATGAATATAGGTCAATTTCTTCGGATAGCCCCCATATAAGGGTATCCCTCAAATTTTCGGTATTTTGGGGTTCTTGAGCGCGTTTTCAACCGAATTCGCTGGAATTTGGAATTTTGTAGTGGCATATGGTAACAAATCTCCGTAGCAAAAATTATTAATATTCGACTCCATTTTGGGGTAGTCCCCATATAACCCCCTTTTTATATTAAAATAGTTATCTGATTTGTTCCGCGTTTTGTGTTTGTTTCTTAGACTCTGTTGTAATCATTTCACCTGCAGAGGATATCGAGATAAAAAGCTAGAACGTAAGGCCTCTATGTGGGAGGTACCAGATGGAACTTGAACTAAGTTTGGAAGAAATAATAAAATGGGCAAAGTTTGGATGAAATCCAAATTTTCTGAAACGGATGTGGTCCAAAGAAACATGGGGTCTAGAACCAATATTTCGATAAAGCACATTTTCACCGTGCCAATATGTATACACCCTCATTAGCCATAAGGATGAGGGTATAATTATCGATTACAAATTTCTGATATTTGTACAATGGTTTATATAATGGGTTTGTAGAAATGTCGGTACATGTATGGTGGAGGGTATCCAAAGTTCGGCCCGGCCGAACCTAACCAATGGGGTAAAATTGTCAATATATGTCCATACCAGCATAATGCCGCTTATTTTAGAAATTTTGAAGCTCTTAGCAACAAAACTAATTTGGAATGCCCGGTAATCAAAGCATAAAATGTTTGAGGATATATCGCCCATATTTTCTAATTTTTTTTTTTCAAATCACTTTGATTATTTCTAAAATGTAAATAAAGTTTGAAGTCCTCCATCTAAAGACAAGAATAACTTCTTGAAGACTTCAGTAACTCATTAAACATTTTAAGTAAATGAACCTTCATTTGCATTTAAAGTTTCATTAAAAAAATAAACGACCATTTGTGAATTTGTTACTTCTCAGAAATATTACGTTTATGCAAACAACATATTTTTGCTACGAAAAAAAAACAAATCACAAACAATTTCTCATACTTTTCATCACTCGCAAAACCGAATTGAATTTTTGTGACGTCTAGACATGACAACAATTTGTTATGGCACGGTAACAATTGAATTTCCCGACCCTTTCACGGAAAAAGCGAACATCTCACTCAAACACAAGGTGGGCCCCGAAGAAAAATAAACAAAAATTCTCAAACAAATATCCGTGTACCGTAGTAAACAAAAAACCCCAAAAAAAATATAACCAAATTTCACAAGAAAACAATCAAATCCACGAAAAAACTGACGATGGTGATGACGACAATGAAAAGGGCAATAAAGACAAACTTATAAATTTTCCTTTTGGTCTTTTGTTGATATGTCGTCTATACGTAGACATTTTTGGGTTTGTTTGCATGTAACCGTAGGAAATGATTTGTGCGGAAAAAAAATCTTATATTTATTTTTGTTTTGGCAACCATTCTAAAATCACCCTCCCATTTACAATGCAGGGGTGCATTTAACTTACCTTGCATTTTTGGCATTTAAAAATGCTGAACTACCAAATTCGGGTTTCTTTCCGCCGCTTAAAAAGTCATCCGTTATGCGTCGTGGCTGGCGTTTGGAGGGGACACGCACAAATGTTGGCGGTGTCCGGTTAATAAACAGCGCTTCTTTGGAGGATTTATCTTTGCTGTGGAATGGAAGAATAAAATAGAAATATTATAACTGCCGACACAACTAAAAATAAGGAAAAACTAAGGAATAAAACAAAAGCATAAGGATCCCTTTCTGGTTTATAAAGAACATTGAGATTTCCACACACATTATTGCTTTCATTACCCATAGAATGTCTAAAATATTATAGAATTCCATGAGTCAACTATATATTTATAGAAGATCCTTAGATTTGTTGTCCTTAAGAAGAAGATCTAGGGGCATTCTTTTTTATTTTTTTACAAGAAGTCCCTCCAAAGGACGTAGAGATTTGATATTCGGTATAGAACACATTTAAGGATTTATTTTGTCTATAGAATACCTACAAGTCATCTATTATCTATATTCACATGTATTTATTATAGAAAACCTAGAGAGACCACTGTTCTATATGCAGCAAAAGCGGGAAATTTTTTCTATAGTAAAAATTCGGAGTCCTGGTTCTTAGCTTTTTTCTATAAAAGAAAAAATTTCAAACCTTTGTTTTTATACCCTCCACAATAATATGTTCGAAGATGGGTTATATCGATCCACTTTTAGGAATAGCCCCCATGTTAGGGTACTCTAAATTTTCGGTATATTGTGATTCTTAATGTCATTTAGGGTATGTTTGGTACCAAATAACTCTACTAAAAATCATAAATATCTGGGTAACCCCCATATAAAGGCTCCAACAATTTCGGCATTTTGGGGAGTTTAGGTACATTTTTCAACCGATATGGTTGTAATTTGGTATTTTGGATTCCGAATTTCTATGAATTCTCTCTACTAAAATTTATGAACATCGGAGTGGCACCCATATAACGGTACCCCCAGAATATGGGGATCTTGACAATTTTCGACCAGTTTTTCAAACGAATATTAGGTTCTAATTGGGTACTACATCTTTCCGCACAAAATTGCTCTACCAAAAATTATGAATTTACAGGGAAATTCTGATACAGAGGTTCTACATTTTTATTTTGGCATATAGAAAATAATTACCGAAACCAGGTTTTTAGTCATTTTTTGTCTATAAATTCGGGTTTTTGGACACTGACATACTTCCATTCGGAAAATTATCAATACAGTACCCAGTACTTTGAGTTTTTTCCGCACAGAAGAGAACGTGATCTGCCATTTCGGGCTTTTGGAGGATCACAGCATTTGCTCCGCTGTTCCGCTCAATTTTCGGAATTTTGAGGGGTTTACCGCATTTCCTCACAATTTTGGTATTTTGAAGGCTGAAGCAGTGTTTCCACACAGCAGTGGCTGTAATTTGGTAGTCCGGGTTTTTGGAAGAAGCCATACTTATATGTAGAAAAAATCATCAATATAGGTTCATGTTGTGACATAGCTCTTATATAAAAGTCCCTGCCAATTTTTTGTATTTTGAAGTCTTCACTAAAATTCATTCGGTTCTTGCAGTGGGAGAAAAATTTTTGCAAAAGCACTTTGATATAGATCCATGTTTTGACATTGCCGGTATTTTGTTAATCAGAATCACTTTCTGAGTCTATTTATGCAGATCCGTCCGTCTGTCTGCCCATGTTAAATTGTAAACAAAGTACAGGTCGCATTTACGATCCAATTTTGATAAAATTTGGCACAGCTCATCTATTTGGGCCAAGGACGAAGCGCTTTCAAATTGGGAAAAATCGGTTCAGATCTATATAAGTTTGGTGGAAATCGGTTCAGATTTAGATATAGCTCCCATATATATTTTAATATAAATGGTATACTAAAGATCCTATATATCTTTCAATTTGCACGAAATTTGGCGTAATATACGAAATTAAGTTTATAATGATGTGCGTTAAGTTTCGTGAAAATCGGTTCAGATTTAGATATAGCTCCCATATACATTTTCGTTCGATTATATGTAAATGGTGCACCAAAGTCCATATATATCATTCGATTTGCACGAATTTTGATATAGCGTACTTAATTAAGTCTAAAATTCTATGTGATAAGTTTCGTGAAAATCGGTTCAGATTTAGATATAGCTAATATATATATTTTCGTCCGATTTAATGTAAATTGCGCACAAAAGACCCTATATATCTTTCGATTTGCACAAAATTAGGCGCAGCTTAATAAATTAGGCATAGAATGATATATGATAAGTTTCGTGAAAATCGGTTTAGAGGTAGATATAGCTCCCATATATATTTTCCCCCGATTTAAGGTAAATTGGGCACCAAAGACCCAAAGTTAAGCCGATTGGGACAACATTTTGCACAGCGTACTGAAGTTACTATAACCTACCGGGTGTCAAGTTTTGTTGGAATAGGTTCAGATTTAGATATAACTCCCATATATAGTTTCATCAGATTTTAAGTAAATTGTGCACCAAAGACCCAAAGTTACGCCGATTGTCACATAATATTGCACAATGTTCAGAAGTTAGAGTAGTATAACGTGTTTTGTTTAAATCGGTTCAGATGTGGATATAGCTCCTATATAGGTTAATGGGCCTCCAAAAATGCGAAGTCTGTTAGGATGCATCTGTTTAATATACCCATAGTGGTGAACGGTATCATAGAGTAGGCACCGTCCGACTTTGCTAGTTTTCTTTCTGGGTTTTAAATCTTGCTTCTCGAGTAAAAATAAAGTAAAAATTTTTTAACTTTAGGTTTTGGTTGATTTAACCCTCGGAACATTGACTGATCATCATCTAAAGCCGTTCTAAATATTTGGTCAAATCCCAAATATTTAGAACGGCTTTATGTGATGTAAATCATGTGATGTAAATCACATTTAACTATATCATCTAAACATCACCGAAAATTAAAGGGATCGTCCTTGACCATAACTAACTAAATGTAAAATTTCAAAGAGATCAGCGCGACATTTTCGCCCTCTCGTGGGGTAATATTAATAATAAACCATATCAAAACACATAGACACCTATCTGAGTACACACAACAATACAATTGGTAACAATTAAAATATCATCCGTTCCTCTTGAATATATTATAAACTTCTCCGGTATATGATCTTCAGGAGTAAATGTATGCGTTTTTAGTGCTTTTCATCCCGTAAATATTAACGGATCATTACAAAAACAATAGGGGCCTTCTTTGGCCAGAACCCGTCATACATGTAAAATTTCGTGACGATTGGTCCATAACTATGACCTGTATCGTGTTTACAAATTATAATGGATATATGACCAATATTTCGCGGCATTACAAACGTTTGGGGCTGTACAAAGTAATTATAACCTGACAACTTAGTTGTGTAGGGAATAAAAACGGAAATATCTTCAATTGTCTGTAGAAGCCTTTGGGCTTTACAGTTCTCATTAGAATTGTCCGCATTGTTAAGTGATTGAGAATAAAGCTACAATGGAATTCAATACATTCCATTTTAGAAATGTTTTTTTGAATGTGCATCCACACTGCATCTTCACTCTTCACCCCTCTCTGTGTGTCTCTCACTCTCTTATACTCGTATGAAGTTGCAACCACACACACTTTCCTTTCAAACAAAAAGTGAACGAACAAAAAAAACTTTGTTCTTCTTTTCTTAAGTAATTTAATTTGAAAATGCATGTTTCAGTTTCTGTCGTTGTTTTTTGTTGGTGGTGTTTTGGGTTGTCATGTTTTCAGGATTTACATCCTTCATCTGCATGACATGCAGGCACACATACATCCTTATACATATGCAAAGTCAAACTACATGTATGCAGTTAAAATAACTACAAAAAAAAAAGAGACATTGGCAAGTCAAGACCAACAACAACAACACTCAGATACACGTCTGCAGCAGCATCCCTATATTTCGTAACGTAAAGTTTTCATTTCAATTACCAAAAGTTTGTCCAACAAATTATGTTTGAAAGTTTTCGACTTCGGTATTCCTTAAATATATCATTAAAATAATTAACTGGCTAATAGTTGTATGAAAGAAGCATATGTGTGTAGGAGACTAACGGAGAGAGTTAGTTGGCAAATGAATGACGTAAGGATATAAGTTGGAAAAGTTTTGAGTTTGAAGAGAAGCGCATGTGGGAGAATATGTTTTGGACAATTTAATAAGTGAGATATTAAAATAAGGTTATTTAGAGGACATATGATAATAAAATGAGGAGAAAGAGAAAGAAAGAGGATACATTTTAGATCACATACAAGTCGAAATAAATTAAATATTAAAATGTTCGATGTTACATTCAATCTGAGTCTATACTGGGATATAGCTCCATATTTGGATTTACAATTTTTATATTGTAGTATTTTTTTAATCCGTCCATTTTTATACCCTTCGCCACACTGTGGTACATGGTATTATGTCTTTGTACATAAACATAAACATAAACACATGGTTCCTTTTGAGAATATGCATAGAAGCACTTTCTGAGTCGATTTACGCATGTCCGTCTGTCCGTCCGTCCACGTATTTTTGTGAACGTGCACTTTGCACGTCGCATTTATGATCCCATTTGGATGAAATTTGGCATATGCCACTTATTTGACCCAAGGACGAACCCTATTAAAATTGAGAAAAATTGGTTCAGATTTAGATATAGCTCCCATATATAGTTTCGTCCGATTTTATGTATATAGTGCACCAAAGTCCCTATATATCTTTCGATTTGCACGAAATTTGGCACAGCGTAATGAATGAAGTATAAAATGATGTGTGTTAAGTTTCTTGAAAATCGGTTCAGATTTAGATATAGCTCCCATATATACTTTCGTCCGATTTAATGTAAATGGTGCACTAAAGTCCCTATATATCATTCGATTTGCACGAAATTTAGCATATCGTATTCAAATAAGTCTAGAATGATGTGTGCTAAGATTCGGGAAAATCGGTTCAGATTAAGATATAGCTCCCATATATAGTTTCGTCCGATTTTAAGTAAATGGTGCACTAAAGTCCCTATATATCATTCGATTTGCACGAAATTTGGCAAAGCGTAATCAATGAAGTATAAAATGATGTGTGTTAAGTTTCCTGAAAATCGGTTCAGATTTAGATATAGCTCCCATATATACTTTCGTCCGATTTAATGTAAATGGTCCACCAAAGACCCTATATATCTTTCGATTTGCACGAAATTTAGCATATCGTATTCAAATAAGTCTAGAATGATGTGTGCTAAGTTTCGGGAAAATCGGTTCAGATTAAGATATAGCTCCCATATATAGTTTCGTCCGATTTTAAGTAAATGGTGCACTAAAGTCCCTATATATCATTCGATTTGCACGAAATTTGGCAAAGCGTAATGAATGAAGTATAAAATGATGTGTGTTAAGTTTCCTGAAAATCGGTTCAGATTTAGATATAGCTCCCATATATACTTTCGTCCGATTTAATGTAAATGGTCCACCAAAGACCCTATATATCTTTCGATTTGCACGAAATTTAGCATATCGTAATCAAATAAGTCTAGAATGATGTGTGCTAAGTTTCGGGAAAATCGGTTCAGATTAAGATATAGCTCCCATATATAGTTTCGTCCGATTTTAAGTAAATGGTGCACTAAAGTCCCTATATATCATTCGATTTGCACGAAATTTGGCAAAGCGTTCTGTATTAAGTGCAGAATGATGTGTGCTGAGTTTGGTGAAAATCGGTTCAGATTTAGATATAGCTCCTATATATATTTTCGTCCGATTTATGTAAATTGTGCACCAAAGTCCCTATATATATTTCGATTTGCACGAAATTTGGTACAGCGTAATTAATTAGGTCTAGAATGATGTGTGCTGAGTTTCATGAAAATCGGTTCAGGTTTAGATATTGCTCCCATATATAGTTTCGTCCGATTTTATGTAAATGTTCCTATATGTCATTAGGTCTAGAATAATGTGTGTTAAGTTTCCTGAAAATCGGTTCAGATTTAGATATAGCTCCCATATATATTTTCGTCCAATTTAAGGTAAATGATGTACCAAAGTCTCTTAATATCTTTCGGTTTGCACGAAATTTGGCACAGTGTAATGAATTAGGTCTAGAATGATGTGTTTTAAATTTCCTGAAATAGTTGAAATCGGTTCAGATGTAGATAAAGCCTCTTTATCTGACCAAATGAAAAAAATAGTATAGGTTGTGGAATGACATGTTTACGGATCCAATTTCATTTTACTGGTCCTTTAAAAATGCGACGTCTGTTAGGAATATACCCAAAGTGGTGAAGGGTATCATATAGTCGGCCCCGTCCGACTTTACGACTTTCCTTACTGGATATTATTTTTTTATTTACACAGCCTCCGTCCGAAAAATATTTTCCTTCTCAAAAACCACTTAACATTGTCATGTAAAAACTGAAAAAAAAATTGCGACAGCTTCAACAAAGGCTTGCATCCATGCAAAACTGTTTAAAAATTTTTCCGTCTGAGGCGAGAATTTTCAAAAAAAAAAAAAAAAAAAATCTTGTTGCAAACAAAATATCTAAAAATGTTTTATCACACATTCATCCCCATATTCATTGAATATGTTAAGAGTTAAAGTCAACAACTACAACGACAAGACAGAAAAAAGTAAACTTACCTGCATTTCAGTCTCGAGCCCAATTGAAAAATATCTGAAGTATTTGTCGGTGAATTTGGTAATGATGGCGGAACACGCATCAAACGAAAAAATGCATGATGTTCGACACAGCAGCGCCATAGATGTTTGCAGGCCGATTTGCGAGGTGTTTCAAAACCATAAGTGCTCAGCTCGTTCTAAAGAATACAAAAACAAGAATAAGAAAATGTAGGAAAAAAATCATAAAGATAAGAAACAATTTAACTATAGAACAGTTCTTTTTTTTGTCAAACACTTTCTTTGGAATTTATCTACTTGACAAAATAACAAGATATGAAATGATGATGACGATGGTTAAAGGAGTCTGGTGCTTTTTTTTCAAATATATACATTGTTAGCATATTGAGTAAGAAACGCGTTAACAAAGTTTTGCTTTACCAACAATGCACCATGCAAAAGTTTATGACAATATGCATAGCGTATTCTAAAAGTATGTTTAAAACCCTTGTGGCTGGTGGAAGGGATGAGGAAAATATTACGAAACTTTGTATAGTTTGTCATCGGATGAAAGCATTTTCCAGCATAAAAAGAATAAAATTTTTTTCTATCGTTGATGGGTAGTGAAATATATTACCGCTTATAATCCGCAAATTGATCTTATACGATTTATTAACAATTTATCTACTTGTTAAGCTCAAAATATTTATTCCGGAAAACAAAAAATAACCGGTATGATGTGAGGATTCAGAAGACCCCAAATTGGTCGGATCCGTTATATGTCAAAATAAGTTAAAACGAAATTACAGTCAATTTGGTTGGAAAACGTGTCCAAAAAAATGTTTAGACGTAAACTTGGAAAAACAAGTAAGGAAAGATGAAAAGCCGGACGGAGCTGATTATATGGTACCCTACACCACTCTGGGTATATACAAGAGAAGATAATGTGTCCTTTTGATAGAAGAGACGTAACATCTTTAGATGATCATTGAAAGGGAATTGGGTAGAAAAATGTGACCAACATAGATATTTGGACCAATAAAAAACCATACACATAGCAGTCTCCAATGGGGCAGACTTGAATTTTTTGGTGTAAAATTTGTATGAAATCCAACAAAATTATATATGCGAGCTATATGTAAATCTGAACCGATTTTGAGAAAACTTCATACACATCAAGCTGGACTGAATTCCGTACGTTCCAGAATTGGGGGATACTTGGGTCAATATTATTAATTTTTGGGAGTGCGATTTGACATCCAATGAGAATACACAAACAATATCAAATCACAGCCAATTCGGTACAAAATCCTCAAAATACCCATTCGCAATATCGAGCATTCTAGGAGTGCTAGCAATGGCTGTGCAAAATTTCAGGGATCTATCTTAAATATTGTGACTTCAATTGTGATTTCAAGAGACGTAAACCACGATTACAATCGTGGTTTCAACCGAAGGACAGATTAACGCATGTCCGTTAAATCGACTTTGTGGGGTCTCCATTGAATGTTTTGAGGTGCTGTAGATATAATATAATCATTATCTTTTGATGGAGGGTATAATAAATTGATAGCAGGATGATTATTCTGCTTACATATATTTGGTCAGGTCATCGGGTGAACCTTCAAAACATAGAAAAAATTCCTATCTACCAAGTCACTTGATGTGGACAATTTGCATAGAACCATGAAATTAAATTAATTTAAAAAGGTGTAGTGACGTTTACATTGGGGTGATTTTGCAAAATATGGACTTATAATATAGCAACAAAAATCTGGGAATGTTAAATTATAGGTCCTTCGATTAGAAAATGCGTCTAAGACCATGAATCATGAAATGGGACGTTGATATTACCCAATTGCCGCAAGACCGACATAAATCAAAGTTTACTATGCAGAACTAGAATATCAGGTGCTAAAGATGAATTTCATCTGGAGGGAAATGCACACAAACACTCGAAAACCATATCCAAATATTTTTTCTCCAAAAATCAAATATCGCGATTTTTCCTTAATCATTTCTTTTCCTCCAGCTAAGTCTTCTGTTGCTTTTCTGAGATGATGGGTCTGACATCTATCATTACATAGAATCACACACTCAGATTGAGAAGCTGTAGAAGTTCCTCTGTCCTTTGTAAGTTGTTGTCAATTGAAAACTTAAAACTCATCTTACTCGATTAGTCATTGTGTTCATTTCGTTAATCATGGCTTCTCCTCCAGCTAAGTCTTCTGTTGCTTAAATTAGATGATGGGGCTGCCATCTATCATTACCTTCTTACTTATTAGTATTGCCATTTTCCCCTAGGTGCCACATTTCTAATTTCCACTATCCTCATATGATGATGCCGAGGTAAGAATATAAGGAGGATAACGATGCATTTCGTCTGGAGGGGTGTAAGCCTCTATAAGACTTCACATTGTTTAAAAAAATCAGATCAACATCTATTATACACTGTGATTGAGAAGCCGTAGAAGCTCCTCTGTCCTTTGTAAGGTAAGAGTAAACTTAAAATGCATTTTCGCCATCTTAATTGATTAGTCCTTGTGTTCATTTCGTCAATCATTGATATTCCTCAAGCTAAGTCTTCTGTTGCCTGTCCTAGCTAATACGGCTACCATCTGTCATTACTTGGAAATAAAGTGCAGAAATGTGCCTTGATGGCACATTTCCAAGTTGGTGCTATCATTATATGTTGATGCCGATTTTGACTATTAGAATATGAGGTGGCTAAAGATAAATTTCATCTGGAAGGGGGATGTAAGTCTCTTCTTACTAGTATTCGATAAAAACATCCAAAGATTTTATCTTTATAGATCAAAAATCACAATTTTTGTATTAATGATGCAGAATTGTTCGCCACATCAGACTTTATACTGTGTAAAAAATCAGATGTATATCACCCACACACTCTGATCGAGAGGTTGTAGATGTTTCTTTGTCCCCTGTAAGTGATAGTGAATGAACAATTTTTAACGCATTTTCGCCATCTTACTCAATTGGTTTCGTGAATCAACGCCTTTCCTCCAGCTAAGTTTTCTGTTGCCTATTCTAGGTGATGGGGCGGGCATCTATCATTACATCGAAACAAAGGCTACTCTAATTTGGTGTGGTGACACATTTCCAAGTTTGTGCTATCCTCATATGATTGATGCCGATGTTGGCTATTAGAATATCAGGAGGCTAAATATGCACAGATACAAATATTGGAAAACCACACTCAACGACTTTTTTGTCCTCCACTGAAATTTGAACCCGACACCCTTATGGTACTACCCCACCCCACGAAGTCTTGACATAAACCCTCTATAACGGTCTCGTCACATTTTCTAGTCTATGTAGTCATAAGTAAATGATACCTTTATATGAGTCGTTTATTTTGAAAGTTGTTTAAGTCCATTTAACTTTATATTCTTTATGTATATTCTATTCTTTATATATATTCTATTCTTAAAGGCAAAACTAACAAAATTGATACAGTACGACAGCAATTTTGAAGCCGCAGCTTAGGTTAGATTATTAAGCTTTGAACATTTTTTGGCAAAGCTAATGAAGTTGGGATTTTTTTTATCGGGGAAAAAGGGTAGAGTGTTATTACCAAACAGGCGTTGTTTCCTACTTCCAAGCATTGGCCATCTACTGAAAAGATGTTCGACCGTTTCCGTATCTTCTTCATCGGCATGATCCCAACAATTAGTTTCATCTCGTTCTTACCGTCAGAATTCATTGATTTAGATATGCTTCCAGAAATCATAACTACAATTTCCTCACTCCACTTAGTTCCAATTTATTTCGAAGTACATCATACAGATTCCACGAATGTAATAGCTAAGAGGTAGTTTAACAGTAGCAGCGATCAAGCTTATCAGCTATTTATAATTCTCTGTAAAGTCGATGTGACCTAAAATCCAACGAAATATATAATCACCGGTCCTGTGTTACTAACCCATAGTTCCTTGACTAATTGTAGCCTACACGAATGCTATGATTTCGGCTTGTAAAACGCTGCAAGATATAAAGAAAGTTTTCACAGAAAAGTCCAGCTTCTACCGTCATAGAACCGCCTGCTTAAACGAACAGAACATTCAGCCAGGAGTCTCTGTCTGCAATTATTACATTTCTAGATTGATGTCATTTAATCACTGAATTGGTTACCATGTGGTTTATCACGGTCATTGTTTATAATATTAGGTTGATATTTAGATATAGCTTGCATATATAAATTCTTCGACTTCCAAATCAAGTATAGAATAATATATTTAATAGGGCGTTCTGGGCGTTTGATCATTTATTTTATAAATATCCAGTGTGTAACGTCGATCCCGTACGCCCTTTTCCTTCTTACAGGTTTTTTAAAGATCGATTTGTTACGTATCTCCCCTGGGATATTCGGGTATTTCAGTTAAAAGAAACTTTTTCCACTATTAATGGCGCCCAACTTATAAAAACCAACTCCTTCTAACCATCATCACCACAATCATATTTAATTTCCAACCATTATACCTTGTGGGGTAAGAAATTTATTCCTTCACCACCACCTCCTTCAACCCATCACAAATAAACCATCAAGATAAAACACAAAGAAAATACATATACATACATTTTTATCACTTATCCTTAGCATAAAATAGCGTCCTTTGTAATAGACTTTAGCTATGCGTGGCCAATAATAATGAGCCACGGTTGTTTTGTTGCGCAGCACCACAATACCGCTCGGCGTTAGACCAAGATAATATTCCACACTATCTTCACCCTGTAAAGAGACAACAACAAATAAAAATACAACAAAATGAGATAAAGGCAAATTTTACAAATTGCTTTGAGTTTTAAAGAAGAAGCAAAACTTAGCTTCACAAAAAAAAGACATGAACTTAAAAACTATGCAAATACCGACAGCAGCAACAAAAACTGTGCTTTTTTCCACTACAAGTAATGTTTCATAATTTCCTCTTCAACTTCCAACAAAGACACAAAGCTGCTCTTACGCTATTGTTGTTGGTTGGTGCTGCTGCTGGTTGCGTTAGATGTTTCCGTGGGATGCTGTGAGTTTCTTTTGATGTTGTTAACAAACTATTACCGTCAAACTACTGAAGCAGTAGCAGCGACAACAAAATTAAATCCAAATGTAAAGGTCACACACACTGTTAACTTCTCAGAGCTATGTCTTTCTATACGTCATTGAAAAAGCTAGTCGAAACATTAGGGGGTTCTAGATTGAAGAAAAACAGGACCATGTTTTAGGGTTGGAACCTAGAAGGCCAAGAAAATGTTCTATTGATTATGCCCAACTTACATCTTGGCTTTATCACCAGCGAAGTTGTCGCCTTAGGGGTTATGAAAACCCCAATAGATATTGTTGAGAAGACCCTCCATCCAAAAAATTTATATGCTCCCATATTACTCATTTTTAATTAATTTATTAATTTTCGGTACGGTAAATTACCTCTAAAGAATCAATGCTTGCGTAATGGTCATGTAAAAGATATAGTATTTCACACATAGTATAAACTTTCAAAGTTTACAATAAACCTGTAAATAAAAACCAAAAAGTAAAAACTTCGGACGGGTTCGAACTATTGGTGCTTGGCCTGATTCAGTGCCCTGTGCAAAATTTTGTGTCAATCGGACAAATATTGGGAGTTTGGTGCATCATTTACGTAAAATCCGACGAAACTATATATGGGAGCTATATATAAATCGGAACCAATTTTAACAAAACTTCGCAGACATCAGCCTGGACCGGATGCAGTGCGCTGGAACCTATATCTACATCGGAACCGATTTTAACAAAACTTCGCAAACCTCAGTCTGGACCTAATTCAGTACCCTGTGCAAAATGTTGTGCCAATCGGACAAATATTGGGATTTTGGTGTATCATTCACAAAAATTCGGACGAAATTATATATAGGAGCTATATCTAAATCTGAACCGATTCCAAAAAACTTCGCAGACATCAGTCTGGGCCTAATTTAGTACTATGTGCAAAGTTTTGTCCCAATTGGACAAATTTTGGGAGTTTGGTCCATTATTTATATAAAATCGGACGGAACTATATATGGTAGCTATATAAATCTGAACCGATTTTCTCCAATTTCAATAGGTTCGTCCTTGGGCCAAATTTCATCCATATCAGATCATAAATCCGACCTGTACTTTGTTCACAAAAATATGGACTGATAGACGGACATGCGTAAATCGACTCAGAAAGTGATTCTATGCATATTCACAAAAGCAACCATGGGTCTATCTCGCTGTGTGGTGAAAGGTATAATTAAGCTCGTAATTACAGCCTCAATTACACAGACTGCGCAAACTTTCGTCTCAATCGAACAAAAACTGGGTCTTTGGTGCACTATTTTCAGATTTAGATATAGTTCCCATCTATTTTTGTCCGATTCAGTGTAAATGGTATACCAAAGTCCCAACATATCTTTCGATTAGCACTAAATTTGGGGCAGCGTACGGAATTATGTGCAGATTGATGTGCGTTAACTTTCGTAAAAATCAGTTCAGATTTAGATATAGCTCCCATATATGTTTTCGTCCGTTTTTTAGACCCAATGGCTGATTGATTGATTAGGGTCTCCATTATATATTTTCGTCCGATTCAATGTAAATGGTGGTAAAAACTCAAATTTAAACCGATTGACACACAATTTTTCGTGAAAATCGGTTCAGATTAAGATATAGCTCCCATCTACTTTTGTCCGGTTCAATGTCAATGGTATACCAAAGTTCCATATATCTTTCGATTCGCACGAAATTTGGCGCAGCGTTCTGAATTATGTCCAGAATGATGTGTGTTAAGTTTCGTAAAAATCAGTTCAGATTTAGATACAGCTCCAATATATATTTTCGTCCGTTTTAGACCCAATGTTAGGCTGATTGATTGATTAGGGTCCCCAATATATATTTTCATTTTCAATATGACTGATATACACAAAATTGTGCACAATGTGCTAACGCCAGTATAGCCTAAAGTGTGTCAAGTTTCGTTGAGTATAGAATTATGTATTTTTTTTTAGAAATTTAGACTTATCCCATATATTCGGCCGACTTCTTGCTTATTAGGTTTCAAATAATCAACGAGCGTCCGATTGGGATATGCTTAAAATCGATTTACCTAATTTTGTGTCATTCTCTATTCATATTTTAGTTCATCTAATTTCATTTCAAGGGTCCTTTGAAGATGTGACGTCTGTTAGAATGCATCTGTTGAATATACCCAAAGTGGTGAAGGGTAGCATATAGTCGGCCCCGTCCGTCTTCACTGCTTTCTTACTGGTTTATATTAAAATAGTTAGCTTATTTGTTCCGTGTGTTGAGGTTGCCCCCATATAGGCGTAGAATAAGCCTATATGGGGACAACCCAAAAAAGTATAAAATTCTAAGACGATTTAGCTATCTGTTGTACTTATTGCGCCTTCTAAGGATATCGTGATAAAAAACACAAACCTGATAATAATGAAATATATCGCCCAGCATTTAGGCATCTTCCCTAAAATATAGGATTCGAAATTGACATATATCGTTCATTAATTAGGCATAGCCCTCATATAATGATAACCCCAAATATTCGCTAATTCCTTACCAATGTTATCAATATTGGCTCCTCTTTAGAAATAGCCTCATATAACTTTGCAATATAAATTGCAGTAGTTTATGCATTATCAGTATTAATAACAATCCACGCGTTGGGGTTTTCAGATTTTAGGAAAAATCTGCATTAAAAATTTGTTGAAATTTGTCGTTATAGGTCCATTTTTGGTATGTTTCCTATATTTTCATTGCAAGTATCTGTCAGTTCGACCCGGCTGAACTTAACGCTTTGTATTAAATTGTAGTATTCAATTTTCTTTTTGCGAGAGGTTCTTATTTAAACTGTCAACATTGTTAATTTTTATACCCTACACAACTATGTTGTCAGGGTATTATAGCTTTGTGCAGCCCCAAATGTTTGTAACGCCGCGAAATATTGGTCCTAGACCCACCTTTAAGTATACCGATCGTCATATCTCGACTAGCTGAGTCGATCTAGACATGTGTGTCCGTCCGTCCGTCCGTCCGTCCGTCTGTCCATTATAATTTGTAAACACGATACAGGCCACAGTTATGGACCAATCTTCACGAAATTTTGCATGTAGGATGGGTTCTGGCCAATGAAGACCCCTATTGTTTTTGGAAAAGATCGGTTAATATTTAGGGGATGAAATGGACCAATTACTAAATTTTTGTCGATTTTTCTGGTCGCTCCACAGGCCGCAATTATGGCCCAAACACCGCGAATTTTTGCATGGAGAAGGGGATCCGGTCAGAGAATAAGCGTGCATGTTTTGATAAAGATCGGTCAATATTAAGCGGGTCAAATGGACCCTGACTTTTGTGTGAAAAATGACAAAATTTGTATTCTATGGCATATATATTTACTCCTGGAGGATGTAGACCCTAGGAGTTGATAACATATCCAAGAGGAGTGGTTGACCTTTAAATTGATACCAAATATAGTGATGTATCTACTCAGATGTGGGAGTTAAGTCAAATATTTACATGTGCTTACGTATTCAGATATTATTTAGTAACCCATTGCCACATTAAAGGGAGAAATATCGCGCTGATGGCTTTGAAATTTTTCATGAAGTTACAGTTATGGTCAAGAACAACGCCTACAATTTTCGGTGATGATCAGATTAAAATTTTGGGATGAAATGGACCGAAAACATAATTGTTTGTGTGTTTTCGAGTAGAGTATAATCCGAAAATCACAACACACCCACCGTGAAGGTAATCTGGACAAGTAATTAGAAGGACTGTACAAGAGGGGGCTGTACAAGAGGGGGCAAATATCAGGAAATATTACTCAGACTCGGAATAAACATCCTCAGAAAGTTAGAGTTCGTGGTAGTTGTGTAGGGTATCGTATGGTCGGCCCCGTCCGACTATACTGCTCCGCTCACTGGTTTATTATTGTAATATTTCTTTGTAGACTTTATAATTTTCATCGACTATGTTCTTCGTAACCATTACTCATATTCTACAAAGATATCATAAAATATGTATTTTCATTTAACAATTAATTTACTTTATTTCCCTGATTTCACGGTTTGGTCAAATCGTTTGCTGTCATCAGTTGACAATAATCAACTAAAGATTACAACACTTCAACAGTACTTGACTTGGCCAAAAGAACAATTTCTCAAGAAATTAATTATACTTTAATAGACTTTTGTGGCTATACATCTTCCCCTGCTCCTTAACCAGCGGACACACAAGTAACGTAACGTTACGCACCCAACAAAACGACCATCCACCATTATTCTCCATAAATATGGCCTATGGCTATTTGTTTATACTTCTAGTTTTGTTGTTGGCCTTGCATCTCTTAACTGTTCCGTAAATCAAATTAATTGCCTTTTTCCATTAACAAACAACTTTGATCTTTGTTGTTGTTTTTGTTGCTTTTCAACGTTTTCACAAAAAGAACTTTAACTGTCATTAAATCTCAATGAACAAACATAATTCTTGCTTCGTGTTCGTGTGGTCTTATTTCCCCCACATTGACTCAGAAATACTCGACACACCAACGTGTAGGCAAGTTAGAGGGCGTCGTTCTACCGACAAAGACGGCAGGGTGTGAGTGTGTAAAATATAATTTATATTTTATTATAGTACTTAATCTCATAGAGAATGTATATATGAAGCGAAAATATAAAATAAAGCCCATTGGCGGGGGAGGGTCATAAAAAATTAACATAAATTTACTCAACAATGTCCTTTCTGGGGTCTCATTGCTTAACACACAAATACACCCAGAGACTCGCACACATAGTCATAATGTTGACATTGTCGTCCTTCTAGCTGGTCTTTATTTCATTTTTTGTCGTATCGTATCGTATCGTCGTTGTTGTTTTTGGAATATTTTGTCGTCTTCTCTTACTAATTTATGAAAATTGTAAAAACTAATAAATTTCGATGGTAACACGAAGATAACAGTCATGTGATGATATGAGTGTGTGTGTCGCCTGTGTGCGATTTGTATTGAAGTATTCGTGTAAGGCTTTTGGTTGGTACCTTAAATAATATTTCTATATATACATATACTGCCAATAATAATTGTATGTACATAGCAATTTATTTCCATATTTATATACGTATTTTATGTTATTGCCGAGATTGTTGTTATTGTCGTAGCTGCTGCTGCTGCCGTTGTTGTTGTTTAGCTATTAATGTGTTTATTTACTTTTTTATTATTCAATATAGAAAAATAGAAACATAATACGGTTCTTATCAACAAATATAATGTTGACATAAAATATTTGTATTTTTGGTCCTTCTTTTTTATCGAGTAACAACAATTACCAAAATTGAGGCAACAGCTCATACCAACTGCTTAATGATGAGAGACAATTCAAGGCCCAAACTGGACTAGAGTTCGAAGAGAAAATGGTTCGACAGGGACTAGGAACGTATTTACAATAAAAACTTATAAGGTTTGTATTAAGCAATATGGCGAATATAATAAACAGTAAGGAAAGTAGTAAAATCGGACTAGGTCGACTATATGATATCCTTCACCACTTTGGGTATTTTAGCGACAGACGTCGCCTTTTCGAAGAAACATTGACACAAATTGAAGGAATTTAAATATGTGGTCTTCATCTATAAGTGAACCGACTAACATCAATCCATACACATGTCTTTCTGCAACCCATGCTAAATTTCATTTCATTCGGGCAGATTTAGAGTCGTTTGCGTACAATGGGACAAATTTATATAAATATATTTATAGCAAACTCGAAACAAGGTTTTTTGGGTTATTTAAACTCAATCAGACACTCGTTCGAAATAAATGGACGCTGTGTCTGCTTCTGCACCAATTTCAAACAAAAGAAAGCAATAACGTTATTCTAGTCTTAATTTGATACGTTGTGCAAAATTTCGTGTCAATCGGACAAACATTAATATAATATATGTGTGAGCTATATCTTAATTTGAACCGATTTCAACGAAACATTCCACAGATTAATTATCTGTACAAAACTGTGTGTCAATCGGAAAAACTTTGGGTCTTTTGTGCACAATTTTCATAAAATCGGAAGACAATATATATGGGATATATATCTAACTCTGAACCGATTTTCACGAAACATAACGTACATCATTCTAGACCTAAGGGAACCCCCCCCCCCCCACCCAATTCTCGATTTTAATTTTTCAAGATTCAATGAGCTGGTAAATCAATACCAACGCTTGTTAAGGTTTTTAACTTTGCACATATATAACTGAAGATATAAAAGAGAAGAAAAATAATTTACAAAAAATGTTTGTTATTGTTTTGTTGTTGTTTTTTGTAATTAAAGAAAAGTCATTATTTTTGATGGCGGACATGATAACTCCCCACTGGAACATCGGAATCCGAAAATTTCAACGGTGTTGGAAAGAGCACATGTCTGTCTCTCGTATGAACTAGGATTATTAACTTCGCTTTAAAATTAACAAAATGGTGGACCTTTGAAAAAATATTTTTGGAAAATCGCCGATTTTTTACCAAAAACCAAGTTATAAAATAAGGAAGATCTTTACCGATTGGCTTTATCCTAGTTCATACGATAGCTATACACTCACAGAGAAACGTGTAAAAATTTGGAATGGATTGGGTTATTAGTTTTTGAGTTATCGTGCCCGCCATTCACAAAAGAGAAAAACGCGTTTAAAGTTTGAGATGCCCTTTAGCCGCCACTTGATACTTCAAGAGTTCTTGAGATTTTCTCTTAAAATTTTTTAGGGACATTCTTGAATCAGTGTAAATTCGAATTAAATCAAAAAATTTGTTGACCCCGAGGGGGTGGTCCCCTTAATTCAGTACACTATGTCAAATTTCGTGCAAATCGAAAGATATATAGGGATTTTCGTGCACCACCTACATTAAATCGGACGAAAATATATATGAGAGCTATATCTAAATCTGAACCGATTTTCACGAAACATAGCACACATCATTCTAAACTTAAGTCAGTACGCTGTACAATATTTCGTGTAAACCGAATGATGTATAGGGACTTTGATAAACCATTTGCATTAAATCGGGAGAAAATATATATGGGAGCTATATCTAAATCTGAACCGATTTTCACGACACTTAACGCACATCAATCTAGACTTAATTCAGTACGTTATGCCACATTTCGAGCAAATCGAAAGATATATACGGACTGAGGTGTACCTTTTACATTAAATCGGGAGAAAATATATATGGGAGCAATATCTGAATCGGCACCGATTTTCACGAAACATCATTCTAGACTTAATTCAGTACGCTATAGAAAATTTCGTGCAAATATAATGAAATATAGGGACTTGATGGGACACTTATATTAAATCGAACGAAAATATATATGGGAGCTACATAAAAATCTGAACCGATTTAATTCAATACGCTATACCAAATTTCGTACAAATCGAAAGATATATAGGGACTATGGTGTACCGTTTACATTAAATTCAAATTTTATTCAATTCCGATCATAAATGCAACCTGTACTTTTTTAACAATTTAACGTGGACTGACGGACGGACAGACATGCATAGATCGACTCCGAAATTGATTCTATGCAAATTCTCAAAAGGAACCCTGTGTCTATCTTGTTTCCTTTTGCCTGTTACCAAAATATGCACAAAGTGCCACAGTGTGGTGAAGGGTATATTTAGAGCTAATTTGATCAAAAGGCAAGTCTACACAACTATGTTGTCAGGGTATTATAGCTTTGTGCAGCCCCAAGTGTTTGTAACGCCGCGAAATATTGGTCCCAGGCCCACCTTTAAAGAAACCGATCGTCATATCTAGACTAACCAAGTCGATCTAGACATGTCCGTCCGTCCGTCCGTCTATCCGTTATAATTTGTAAACACGATTACGTATTACGTATTCGTGTATTATCTAGTAACCCATAACCACACTAGAGGGTGAAAATATAGCGTTGATCGCTTTGAAAATTTCCATGTGGATCCAGGTATGGTCAAGGACAACCCATATAATTTTCGGTAATGATCAGATAATAGTATTTAGACAAAGTGGACCGAAAACTTAATTTTTTCTGTTTTTCAAGTCGATCTATAGGCCACAATTGAAAGCCAAACATCAGAACACAACCCACAGTTAAGAGGATCTTGACAAGTCATTAAAAAGGGGTACTGAATATTAGTAATATCTGTTGACCTATAGTCGGTCAAGAGGGTACAAATGTCATGAAATATTGTCCATGCTCAGAATATAGAACCGCATAAAGTTAGATTTTCGTGAAAGTTGTATAGGGTATCATATGGTCGGCCTCGTCCGACTATACTGCTCCGCTCACTGGTTGATAGATAGATTAGAACTCAAAAAAGAACAAATAAGAACCAATTCGAATGGAAAACATGACCAGAATTCCGAAAAATGCCGAATGATAGGAGTATATTGATAGCTACGCCGAAACATTGGCCAATATGGATAGTTTTTGTAGGATGATTATGGAGGAGAATCTAAAATATAAAATTAGACCTAATTTGGTTTGAAACGTGCCCATAATTCTCAATATTGCCAAATATGGTATCCAAAACATGGATATACTCCACTTTTTATTTCAAGCATCCTAGGAGTAGTGGCAATTTATGTGCAAATTTTCAAGACTCTATCGTAATTATTACGCGTTTTATCGTTATTTCAACAGAAACACGCAGGGACAGACATGCATTCACAGTTTTTTAATGCGATGTATGTCTCTTTAATTGCCTGGTACTATGTTGCTTATGATTTGAGAATATTACTAGTTTGGACATGGCTAATTCGACGTAAAATGTTATTTATTCTTTACTTAACATCCGACGAATATTTCTAGAGGTTGCAAACGGAAGGAAAAATTTAATACATCCGTCATCTCACACCAAGTCTCTCACGTTTTTGAAGTCATTTGTTAAAATATTTAACATTTTTCGTAATGGAACCCATTACAGGTTTTATTTTTTGTGATTGGACTATTGCAATATTAGAAGTGATAAAAATGAACATTTAAATGAAAGATCTTACATTTTCGAAAAATATACAATTTTCTACTTACCAAAACTGGATGCAGATCCACCCCATACATATCATGCCATTTGACTTTATCTAAATAATTCAGTTCAGCAGCGGCCGGTGACATACCCTTCAGCTGCTGATGTAGTTCCGCAACCCGATTTTCCAATTCACTACTTTGATTGGGTAGTAAACGAAATTCGGATACATAACCTTTGGAATGGCGTCTTTGGTCATAATCACCCAGTTCAGCTGAAATTAAATGGCATTAAATTAAATGAAATAAAATGTTCCGTAATTTGTAAATAATTTTCAAAATTGCTTGCTTAAGACTTACACTGCACAACAAATGCACCCAATTCGGCAGCCAATTCAAAGGCAACTGGTAGCCTTCCTTGTAGGACATCCTGTTTGACTTGTAGAAACAATTGATATCTGCAAAATTGAGACATATTTTTGGGGTGTGTAAACAACAACAATTACATGGGTATTAAATAGAAGAGACTATTCTATGTGCACTATGTGGGTGTGTGTGTGTGTAAAATTTCTAATTTCATTTGTAAGTGTAAATAAACAAATGAAGATGGCAACACATGTGTACATTTCGCACACAAATAATATTGAATACATATGAACCCTTCTAAACAAATACATGTGTAACAAATATGTGTGTATATTTCAAAGTTTATACAAAATTTCCATAATCCTTTAAACGAAATCCAAACAAAACTCATTGTGTAGTTTGGGTGTACAGAATAATACTCGGTATGGAAGTGGACAGCTTTGGAAATGTATATTCAAATGTCCCTTAGAGATTTACACAGGCCTTTTGACGTAAGTGTATTTGGTATTTACCATACCGCACACTCACACACATACTCCTTGTTGTTTTTCGTATTTGTACATCTCTATGACAAAAGTTAATATTTACCTAAATTATTACAGACGATTTCAACAGCATATGGTTCAACTGTCACCAATAGAATGGTGAAGGTCTTGCACACAAGTTCAAAAGTTGTCTAGGGCGATAGTGACCATAACTAATTATTTTGGTACAACATTTGTTATCCAAATGTACGTTACTATACATAAACAGGTGATATGTTATAGTACGGTCATAGGGAACTAGTAGTTCGTCATAGAAGATGTTCCCTATATAAAAGGTAAGTTATTAGTAAAATTAAATTTTTTCTAAATTGTGACAATTTGGTGTGGACGTACCAAAGGACACATTCGCTTTACACGATATATATGTTTTTATTAAAATATGACCATCTGCCGTGGCCTACAGACCCTTCGTCGGATTTAATGTTGAATTTTTAAATTGATGGATCAAATCAGATATCCACCAGAGATTGAGAACCGAAAGGTTCCGTCTTCCGATTTAATAAAAAGTCTACTTTGTGCAAAAAATTTGGTCAATTCCGAGTTTCATTTAGCATCGTTTGAGATTTCTGAAGGTACCTGAAGGAGTTGCCCGAGAAAAACCTATAATTATAAGTTTCGTACAAATATTAGGTTGTGCAAAGTTGTGACTCAATTCAAATTTATTTTTCAGCAAGATACGAAGTGCCAGAAGAAGTGGCCGATAATTTTTAAACTTGCTTTAAATTTGGGGAAAAAAATATTCACCAAAATGTGGACGAAACCGGGCGAAATTCTAAATCAACTCCAAAACGGTTATATAGGATTTGGTTCAAAGATGCTGGAGACAAAACCCGATATTTAGATAAAGAACATTTTAATTATTATTTGCATGTCGGATTCCCAATTGACAAAATATCTTCACACAGGAACTGATTAATGCATTTCCATTTTCCCAAATATCGCCATACGAATGTCCGGGCCGGTTTAAGTCCCTTGAACGTCCTTCCCATATTCCAACAGAAGGTAATAGCAAATATTGCAAAAAACTTCCCATGCTCAATACGTTAATGGGTTTGTGTTATCAGGGCCCAAATACGAGTCTCATTCCATTTTAGGTGTTTTAAAGATTTGGCATTCGATTTCTCAGAGGGAAAATACAACCTCGTGGGTCTAAGAGATCTTCACCACGCTGTGGTATAGGGTATTATGTCATTGTGCGTATGTTTGTAAAAGGCAAAAGGAAATGAGATAAACACATGGTTCCTTTTGAGAATATGCATAGAATCACTTTCTTTATGCATGTCATGTTAAATTTTAAACAAAGTACAGGTCACATTTATGATTCGAATTGGCAGAAATTTATCACAGCCCATCTATTTGGCCCAAGGACCAATCCTATTGAAATTGGAAAAAATCGGTTTAGATTTAGATATACCTCTCATATATATTTTCGTCCGATTTAGGGTAAATGATGCGCAAAAGTCTCTGCATATCTTTCGATTTCCACGAAATTTGGCATAGCGTACTGACTTGAGTCTTGAATGATGTGTGTAAAATTTCTTGAAAATCGGTTCATATTTCGTTATAGATCCCATATATATTGTCGTCCGATTTAATGTAAATGCTGTGCCGACATTTTGAATAGCGTACTCAATTAAGTCAGGAATGATGTGTATTACGTTTCGTGAAAATCGGTTCAGATTTAGATATAGCTCCCATATATATTTTCGTCCGATTTAATGTAAATGGTGCACCAAATTTCCTATATATCTTTTGATTTGCACGAATTTTGGTATATCATACTGAATTTAGTCTGGAATGATGTGTGCAAAGTTTCCTGAAAATCGGTTCAGATTTAGATATCGCTCCTATATATATTTTCGTTCGATGTAAATGGTGTGTCAAAGTCCATATATATCCTATATATCTTTCGATTTACACGAAATTTGGCACAGCATACTGAATTAACTCTGGAATGATGTGTGCTTAGTTTCGTGAAAATCGGTTCAGATTTAGATATAGCACCCATATATACTATAATCCGATTTAAGACAAATGGTGCCCCAAAGTCCGTATTTATCTTTCGATTTACACGAAATTTTTCACAGCGTCCTGAATTGAGAGTAGAATGATGTGTGTTAAGTTTCGTGAAAATCGGTTCAGTAGAATGTGTTCACCAAAATTCCTATATATATATTTCAATTTTCACCATAATTTGCATAACGTACTGAATTAAGTCTGAAATGATGTGTGCTAAGTTTCGTGAAGATCCGTTCAGATTTAGATATAGCTTCCATTTATATTTTCGTGCGATTTAACATAAATGGTGCATCATAATCTTAATTTTTGGCCGATAAACACGACATTTTGCACAACATATCAAATTGAGACTTGAATGACGTTATTGGGTTTTGTTGAAATTGGTGCAGATTTAGATATAGCTTCCATAGATATGTATTTCGAACGGGTGTCTGATTGAAATTCAATTTTTAACAGTGCGACGTATCGAATAGCGTGAATCAATTTTGCTATAAATCGTTTTTTCAAAAATTTGGCATGATACTCATACGACTCTAAATCTGACCGGATGAATTTACATTTGTCATAAGTTGCAGAAAGACAGGAGTATGTTCATTCGAAGGAACATTGACATACAATTGTAGGGATACATATGTACAATATACCCATAGTGGTGAAGGGTTCATATATTCGGCCCAGTCCGACTTTACTACTTTCCTTACTGGTTTAATTTATTTAATTTAATATTTTTTCAAGCTCTGTTATTAATCGCGGATTTTATAATAATATTTCTTCATGAACTTTTAACTGGAGTACATTTTATACAAATATTTTTTGAAGGTTTTCAAATGGAATTATAAGCGTCTTCAAATTGGAATTATAATCTATAGACGAATACTTTATACAATTATTTTTCCAGGCATATTCAAGGTCTATCAGTAGACGTGGATTTTATAAATTTATAAAATATAGTTTCCGAGTTCTACATATGGGCGTGGATTTTATAAAACATTTTTTTCGAGGTCTGTGTGGTGTGGATGGAATTCATAGAACTTATCAAGCTCTCCCCCAATATATTTAATTTAACCACCTTCCCTAATAACATAACATTCATTAATATTATTTTCCAATTGCTAAAATAAAAATCCTCATTGATTGTTAATTTGAAACAGAATTCTATTGCAGCATAATGAGTTATATTGTGGTCATTCCCCTTTTAATTTGCCTATCCACATACTATCTACATTGCATAGCAATTGCTTTCGAAAAAATCCACAAATTCCCAATTTTCCGGACTCATCATACAAAACACAAAATGGGTTAGTTTCGTGTTCGCCTCGTCGACCAATATTTATCAATTGATATTTATGCGGCGACAGATGTTTAATGAAATGTTTGCAATTGCAATTGAAAATGATGATGCACTCGTTTTAGAGGAGCAAACATTCAATCGGACTGGCGGATTGACGGACATTCAAAGAGGCTACAATGGACCATATCAAAAATCAAAATAAACCAAAATGAAATGAATTTTGTGTGTGTGAGAGTGGTAAATTGCATTTGACACGTTTGGGCAAAAAAATAGAGAAACGAGAAATTGCATTGATAAAAGCCAGTCATATGAACCACACGATATGCGGTGAATCCTTTTAGGTATACCAACTGTTTCAAATTTTTGTCACCATGAATAAAGTGTTTGTGATTTCGTCTTTTAGTAAGCAAATTTATTATCAGTGAGATTATTAATGGCTGGTATAGGTTATCCTGACAAACTTTGGTAAAGATTATACATTAAAAACAGTTTATAGTTTCCGTGAAAAATTGAAATTATATCCACAGATCAAAAATAAATGTTTGGCCAAGGGTACAAATATATTGGACATATCAAGCAAAATATGTATTTATGATTTATTATGTTTATTAAATCAAATATTTATTTCAAAATTTAACTGACATATACCTAGTATATTCATAAATCTGTTACATAATCTTTTTACGCACAAAATTACGATATTTTGTTTACCCTAAGTGCAGCCGGTTTTCTATCACCAACTGATTTATCGTCCTGTGTAATGATTGTAATCTGTATCATCAGATCTATGTCCTACTTGTTTTCTTTTCAAATTTCGTTTTTATGTCATTTTTACTTGTTCAAAGTCTGCGGTCATTGGCAACTCAAAAAACGTTGAAATGGGAACAGAGACAAAACAAATATGATATTGAAAATTGAATTGCCAGAAAAAAGAGAATATTACGCTTTGATTAAATGACGATGGCAGATATACACAACTACAGATACACCGTTCCTTCTAAGCTAAACTGCAGGTTACAGAAATCAGAAACATGTCAAAAAAAAAAAAAAAAAAAAAAAATGTGAAAGGAGCAAAGTCGGAATGGTCTATTATATGAAACCCTACACCAATTAGTATACTGAGAATATATGAGAGCTATATCTAACTCTAAACCGATTTCAAGGAAACTTTGGGGCACAATTTGGAGCACATGCATGTAAATGGTGCATCGTTTACATAAAATCGGACGAAACTATATATGGGAGCTATATCTAAACTGGACCGATTTTCACGAAACTTGGCAAACATCACTCTAGGCTCAATTCAGTACGTCATGCCAAATTTCGTGTCAATCGAAAGATATACAGGGACTTTGGTGCACCATTTACATAAAATCGGACGAAACTATATATGGGTACTATATCGAAATCTGAACCGATTTTCCCGAAACTCACCACTCATCATTCTAGACTCAATTCAGTACGCTGTGTCAAATTTCGTGCAAATAGAAAGATATATAGCCACTTTGGTGCACCATTTACCTTAAATCGGACGAATATATATGGGAGCTATATCTAAATCTGAACCGATTTTTCCCAATTTCAATAGGGTTCGTCCTTGGGCCAAATAAATGAGCTGTGCCAAATTTCATCCAATTCGAATCAAAACTGCGACCTGTACTTTGTTTACAATTTAACATGGACAGACGGACGGAACCATGGGTCTATCTCGATTATTTTTGCCTGTTACAAACATATGCACAAAGACATAATACCCTGTACCACAGTGTGGTGTATAAATACAGTTGGAAAACAAAAATGTTGAAAAGTCGGATGATCGCCTTCAGAAAATCTGTACCGTCATGTAGCAGCAGTTTTAAGAAAATTTGGTGGAGACCGATATTAAGTATTCAGAATTCTCAAAAAAATTCCATGCAAGTCTTGAAAAATGGCTAGCAAACATCTGGTCAGAAATTTCAAAGAATTACCCAGCTGGTAAATTTCAGCCCTAAAGAAGTTAAAAATTCCAAAAACTCGCTTGGAAATTATGTTATGGTCATGGTCTTCAAGGAATGCTGCCTTCTTCAAAAATTGAAGCTACGGAGACCTTCGAAAAATATCCCCGATTAAGTCGATGAGAAATCGTCTGCAGATAGGCCTCAGTTCATTAAGTTCATTGTAATTTTTCAAAGAAGTAGTAGTAGTGTAAAAATCCTCTTGCAATGAACTCCAGAACCCAAAGTATGCCTCGACAAACGTCCTGCTGCTTAAAACCTTTCTATATATGTTAAGGTTCTGCATTAGTTAGCAATCTAGCAGGGATAACGAAGTAGGTCTGAGATATCTGGTTAAATTTCTCAAATTTCTGAATCGATGTTCGCCTGCCTATTGAAATCATGATAGAGCTCGTAATATTAGATATAGTTGTTCGAAAATTACCATCCAACCCAATTCCGCAAGGAATTTTTCGATTTTCATATACGATCGATTTCGATTTTCATATACAATCTCCCAATATTTGTCCGATATACGATTTTCATATACGAGAGCAATTCGGAAAGTGCTTAGCCTAGCACTAAAAGCGCGGTATAACCAGAAAAAATTTAGGTATTTTGGAAACCTCCTTCTATGTTATGAACACACGTATTTTTTTAACTCCTGTTTCTATATGAAAGAGTTACAAGATCGGAACAAAATTTAACATATGGTCATAACAGAGATGGAAGTTTCCAAACACTTAACTTTTTATACCCTACACAACTATGTTGTCAGGGTATTATAGCTTTGTGCAGACCCAAAAGTTTGTAACGCCGCGAAATATTGTCATATCTCGACTAGCTGAGTCGATCTAGATATGTGTGTCCGTCCATCTGTCCGTCTGTCCATTATAATTTGTAAACACGATACAGGCCACAGTTATGGACTAATCTTCACGAAATTTTGCATGTAGGATGGGTTCTGGCCAATGAAGACCCCTATTGTTTTTGGGAAAGATCGGTTAATATTTAGGGAATGAACCGGACCAAATACTAAATGTTTGTCGGTTTTTCTGGTCGCTCCAGAGGCAGCAATAATGGCCCGAACATCGTAAAATTTTTCATGGAGAAGGGGATCGGGCCAAAGAATAAGCATGCATGTTTTGATAAAGATCGCTCCAGAGGCAGCAATAATGGCCCGAACATCGTAAAATTTTTCATGGAGAAGGGGATCGGGCCAAAGAATAAGCATGGGTCAAATGGACCCTGACTTTTGTGTGAAAAATGACAAAATTTCTATTCTATAGCGTATATTTTTATCCCTGAAGGACATAGACCCGACAAGTTTATATTATATCCAAGAGGAGAGGTTGACCTTTAAATTAATACAAATTATATTGTTGTATGTGCTCGGATGTGGGAGTTACACCTAAATATTTAAAGGTATCTCCGTATTCGTATATTATTTAGTAACCCATTATCACTCTAGAGAGCGGAACTATAGCGCTGATCGCTTTGAAATGTTCTAGGTATGGTCAAGAACAACGCCTATAAATTTCGGTGATGATCAGATAATAATTTTGGAATGAAGTGGACCAAAAACTTAATTTTTTGTGTTATTTTCGAGTCGATCTATAGACCACAAATGAAAGCCGAATATCACAACACAACCCACGGTGAAGGACAATAGCTGTACTGAATACTCATAATATTCGGAAAATATGTCAGTGTGAGGAAGAGGTGCTGTTTACCTCTAATCGGGCAAGAGGGTGCAAATATCCCAGGCTCGGAATAAATATCCGCAGAAAATTGGAGTTCCGTGGTAGTAGTGTAGGGTATCGTATGGTCGGCCCCCGTCCGACTATACTGCTCCGCTCACTGGATTCTGTTTATACCGTGTTTTTTGTGTTAGGCTAAGATCTTTCTGAACTGCCCTCGTATATGAAAATCGTATATCGGACAAATATTGGGCGATTGGTGCATCATTTACATAAAATCTGACCAAAATATATATGGGAGCGATATCTAAACTTGAACCGATTTTAACAAAACTTCGCAGACATCCGTCTGGACCTCATTCAGTACTCTGTGCAAAATTTTGTCCTAATCGGTCAAATATTGGGAGTTTGGTGCATCATTCATATAAAATCGGAAGAAACTTAATATGGGAGCTATGTCTAAATCTGAACCGGGAGCTATATCTAAATCTGAACTGATTCCAACAAAACTTCGCATACATAAGTACAGACCTGATTCAGTGCTCTGTGCAAAATTTTGTCCCAATCGGACAAATATTGGAGTTTGGTGTTCCATTTACATAAAATCGGACGAAACTATATATGGGAGCTATATCTAAATCTGAACCGATTTCAACGAAACTTGGCATACCTCAATGTAGACCTAATTCAGTACTCTGCGCAAAGTTTTGTCGGAGCAATATTGGAAGTCTGGTGCGCCATTTACATAAAATCGGACGAAACTATATATGGGAGCTATATCTAAATCTGAACCGATTTTTCCCAATTTCATTAGGGTTCGTCCTTGGGCCAAATTATTGATATGTGCCAAATTTCATTCAAATTGGATCATAAATGCGACCAGTACTTTGTTCACAAAAATACATGGACGGACGGACATTCGTAAATCGACTTAGAAAATGATTCTATGCATATTCTCAAAAGGAACCATGTGTCTATCTCGTTTCCTTTTCCCTGTTACAATCATATGCACAAATACATAATACTCTGTACCACAGTGGGCACCAGTAGTGCTGAATGAAAGTTCTCAATATAGTTCCATATATCGATATTTATAAGATCTCATTTTTGGCATTATGGTTAATCAGAGAATGAAATATTCATAGAAAGATATTTTACAGGTTTTTGTATCAACCAATTTTAGCCTAATCACATGTTTCCAATGAGGCAGTATTAGGTTCCTTGTGTTCATATGGCCGAACATACATCTTAGGTACTAGCCAAATTTCCATTTTAAGTGAATGCACCCTGTTCTTAAATTTCAAGTTAGAATGCCCTTTTTGTAGATATAACCAATATAAAAACGCTACCCGATTATTATTTATTCACATTTAGTTCCTCATGGTTAAGAGTAAGAAAGCCCACCTCTGAACCTGAATTTCACACACACAAAATATCATTGCTGCTGCTGATAACGTCTCGCACAACAAATCCTCTAAGGATTAATTCATAAGTACTCGAATGCCTTTAATACTACTTTATAACTTCTCATATCTTATGCTGATTAATTACGTTATGCTTGTTTTTCTCTTTTCAATTTCCGTTAAATGCCGTTAAGAATTTATGTAAGTGTATGTGTGTTTGTGAGTGTGAATATGAAAGCACAAATTACTGCATGGTGTTGGTTAACTTACCTTGTAATTTCCTCCACTAATTTACAGGGATCGGCGGCGTAGAATTTAACACCAAAATATAAATCGTATGGATCTGCTTTGGGTTTTAATTGGCGGGAAATGCGTGAGGCTGGATCCAGCCAATGCTATAAATACCAATGAAACCCCAAACACAGCAACAGCGACGAGACGAGAAGACACGTGCCACCAACACCATCATCATCAGCGACACCATTCAGAGGCAGCCAGCCAGGCCATGTGGCAACAATTGATAAAATAATGGCAAACCAAGACGACGGCAGCGTTAAATGTAAAACAATAAAATTTCAAGATGTAATACATATAGAAGGAGAACAATAAAAAGGAAGAGACGAGAAAAGAAAGGAAAAACAGAAAAAATAAAATTGAATGTAAATTGAATAAAACTTGTGAATGTTTATTTTAAGATAACTTCGGGTCGCCGCTAAAACAGCAGGCGAATGGTCTACACACAAAACCTTGTCGTCGTCCTCACTCTCTGCTCTCCTCGTTTACACTCCATTGCATGGCTGTTTAAAATTCTGTAAAGTTATGGTGAAAATCCATAGCAATAAATTGTGAACATCCGCAATGAAAACTCCCAGCAAAGAAAATGCCATGTGAAAACCCAATGAATTCGAATCGAACGCCCTTCCCACGCTTCACTCGGCCAACATTCCTCGTCTTCCTCAAAGACAAACCAAACTTAATCCCTGGTTTATGTTCAACGTCGCCACTTTGGTTGAACGAGAGGACACAGACACACACAAACAGTGGCATCAGTCAGGCGTTACAAATATTGAGAATGGTTAGGGATTTTCGTGGGGTTAAATGATTCCTACCAATATAATATGACCTTCAACCCACCATGTTCTCTTTTCGGTTTTGCCCGTTTCTTATGGATAATTTTTTGTCCTTCGCCAGCAGTTCAGAGTTAGGGAACTATTAAGAACCAAAGTCATTTATAAAGGGACAATTTGAAAAGTTTTACTTCCTTCCTACGAAAATGAAAACAAGACAAGACAAAAGTGGAGCATGCTGGGGGCAGATACAAAGAAAAAAACTTTTGCTGTTTTTGTTTAAATTTCATAAAATATGTTTTCTCTTCCTTTGACAGATAGCTATCGTAAATTGTAGCCAAGGGAGGGGAATTTCTTTAAATATTTTTCTAAAGAGAATTTTTTAAAAATATTTTTTCAAGGCCTAATGAAACCGTGGATTTTTAAACAATATTTTTATACCCTCCACCATAGTATGGAGGGTATATTAATTAATTAACCATAATCGGTTTGTAGGAATGTTGGTATAGGTACACATTTTGGTATGTTTCCCATATTTATACCCTTCACCACACTGTGGTACAGGGTATTATGTCTTTGTGCATATGTTTGTAACAGGCAAAAGGAAACGAGATAGACACATGGTTCCTTTTGAGAATATGCATAGAATCACTTTCTAAGTCGATTTATGCATGTCCGTCCGTCCGTCCGTCTGTCTGTCCATGTTAAATTGTAAACAAAGTACAGGTCGCATTTATGACCCGAATTGGATGAAATTTGGCATAGGTCACTTATTTGGCCCAAGGACGAACGCTATTGAAATTGGGAAAAATCGGTTCATATTTAGATATCCCATATATATTTTCGTCCGATTTAAGGTAAATGGTGCACCAAAGTCCCTATATATCTTTCGATTTGCACGAAATTTGGTATAGCCCACTGAATTAGGTCTAGAATGATGTGTGCTAAGTTTCGTGGAAATCGGTTCAGATTTGGATATAGCTCCCATATATAGCTTCGCCCGATTTTAGGTAAATGGTGTTCCAAAGTCCCTATATATCTTTCGATTTGCACGAAATTTGATATAACCTACTGAATTAAGTCCAGAATGATGTGTGCTAAGTTTCGCGGAGATCGGTTTAGATTTAGATATAGCTCCCATATATAGTTTAGACCGATTTTAGGTAAATGATGGACCAAAGTCCCATGCAAATTTCGATTTGCACGAAATTTGGTTTAGCGTACAGAATTAAGTTTAGAACGATCTGTGCTAAGTTTCGTGAAAATCGGTTCAGATTTAGGTATAGCTCCCATATATATTTTCTTCCGATTTTGTGTAAATGGAGCACCAATGTCCCTATATATCTTTCGATTTGCATAAAATTTAGCATAGCCCACTGAATTATGTTTAGAATGAAATGTGCTAGGTTTCGTGAAGATCGGTTCAGATTTAGATATAGCTCCCATATATATTTTCGTCCAATTTTATGTAAATTGTGCACCAAAGTCCCTGAAAAGCATTCGATTTACACGAATTTTGGCATAGCGTACTGAATTAAGTCTATGATCATGTGTGGTAAGTTTCGTGAAAATCGGTTCAGATTTTCATATAGCTCCCATATATATCTTTTGATTTGCATGAATTTTGGTATATCGTACTGATTAAGCTCGAGAATGACGTGTGTTAAGTTTCGTAAAAATCGGTTCAGATTTACATACACCTCCTATATATATTTACATACACCTCCTATATATATTCGTCTGTTAGGATACATAGGTAGAATGTACCCAAAGTGGTGAAGGGTATCATATAGTCGGCCCAGTCCGACTTTACTACTTTCCTTACTGGTTTATAAGTATTTTTCTGAAGGAGTACCAAAGGCGTGATATTTTCCAATGGGACTATTAAAGGCGTGGATTTTTTAAAAATATATTTTTTTCAGGGCCTAAGAAACCGTGAATTTTTTCAATTACTAACCAAGTGGAATCACGCAGTAGAGGTCTAACTGTGTTAAAGAGTTTTTTTGTTTTCCATTTCATTGCTCAAAACTAATTCAAGATGTAATGGAAAGGAAAGAAGAAGAAGTAGTAGAAAGTATTTTTCTTTTTTTTTTTTTTTTTTTGTTGTCTGTTAAATACTGTTTAATATGTTTTCTAAATAAACATTATTTTTGTTTTTATCAGGGATGCTGTTCTTGCCTCCATTGGGTCTAGCAACGACAGCAACAACAACACGTACGAGCGACCCGGTCAGTAAAATGAGACAAAACAAAGTTGTCGAAGTTTACTTTTAATTTCCATTAATTACGCCTGATCACATTCCCTTTCCCACAGCCAAATATCTGCATGGTCGAGAATTGCTGCCGCCCATATTCGAGCTAGCATAGGGCTGAAAGGGAATACATTTAAAATCGAAAAAAAGGTCCTTTGACACTGATGACACTACGATGGCATAATTACGAATATCCTTTTTGTAGGCATTCCATGCCGCAGTGATAACCCTTGCTAAACTCGGTCACATGTTTTGTTCGTTGGCATCGTCGTTTCGTGGTGGAAGCGGGCAAGAGAGTGAGCGATTGGTTTTGTTTGCTTATGGATGATTATTTTTTGTTTGTTTATATTGGTTAATGATGTATGTATGTACATGTATTTGCAGTATATTTACCGTTTGATTTTCTTCATCGATGTAACGAATACCAAAGAACGATGTTTCAATTAAATTCAGTCGAGCAAAGACAACATCCAACAGAGCCTGACCCGGCAAATCATCCTGCAAGAGAAAACGAGAGATAAATGACACATTAAAATAAAAAGACATCAATTGGCGAAAAACGGAATTGTTAATAAAGAAATTAATTTTTAATGGCATACCTATTTCGAAAGAGAAATTAAAAAGTTTAGCGCAAAAAAGGAGATTAAAATGATTTTATGTTTCAATGGTTATTGGGTCGTTATTGGAAAAAATCGTTAACGATTTCTTTGATTAAGTTTTTGGAATTTTTATGGTAATTGTAATTAATTAAAATAAAAAAAAAACAAATGGATATGACAATTATGTCAAGGCAAAATAATATAATTTCTTCTACACAAACGTCAATAGCAAGGTTTATTCATAAGGTTAACAGAGATGCGAATTCGAAGTCTTCATTGACCGTCGATTTGCACGAAATTTTGCATGGAGTAGTAAATTAAGTCTCTAATTATGTGTGCTCAATTTCGTGCAAATCGGTTCAGATTTAGATATAACTCCCATATATATTTTTTCGTCCGCTTTAATGTAAATGGTGCACCAAAGCCCCTATATTTCCTTCGATTTGCACGATATTTTGCAGGGCTCATTAAATTGAGTCTAGAATGATGTTTGCTAAGTTTCGTGAAAATCGGTTTAGATTTTGATATAGCTCCCATATATATTTTATTCAGATTTTATGTAAATGGTGCACCAAAGACCCTATATTGTGTATAGCGTATTCTCTTGAGACTGATAGAATGATGTGCGCTAGGCTTCTATGCAATTGGTTCAGACTGGCATATAGCTCTCATATATATTTTTGTCCGATTTTATGTAAATGGTGCACTAGAGATCAAAAGCTATGCAGATTGACACAAAATTTTGAGAAAAGTTCCTAAGTTAAAATAAACGAATCTCCTGCAAGTTTCGTTGAAATCAGTTCAGATTAAGATATAGCTCCCACAGTTTATTCCGATTTTAAGTGAATGCTTTGTTGCACCATTCAAACGTTTGTCATGTAGAAATCGGTCAATGTTCCATCGAAAAGGCGACGTTTGTTAGGACACACCTGCTAAATATACTAAAATTGGTAAAGTACATCATATGGTCGGCCCAGTTCGACTTTACTACTTTCCCTACTGGTTTATTATTTAGTAAACCTGAGGAATTATAGTACGTTTACATGTAACCGGATTTCATTAATCCAGTGGGTTTCAATTCAACTCCTTTGCTTATATGTCAAATAAATCCTCGTAAGTGGGGCAGGACAGGCATATAACCAATATCGCCAATGAAACCGGCGAACACTTGCTTTTAAGGGCATCTTGTCAAGAACAATATATCCATGATTCATCACCTGTCACGAAAAGGTTACAGAATTCAGATAAAGGCCTTTTGAAATGCCACGATAGTATTTTTATACCATTCACCGCACTGTGGTACAGGGTATTATGTATTTGTACATATGTTTGTAACAGGCAAAAGGAAACGAGATACACACATTGTTCCTTTTGAGAATATGCATAGAATCACTTTCTAAGTCGATCTATGCATATCCGTCCTTCCGTCTGTCTATGTTAAAGTTTAAACAAAATACAGGTCGCATTTATGATTCGAATTGGATGAAATTGGCACAGCTCATATATATATATATATATATATATTTCCGTCCGATTTAAGGTAAATGGTGCACCAAAGTCCCTATATATCTCTCGATTTGCAAGAAATTTGGCACAGCATACTGAATTGAGTCTAGAATGGCGTGTGCTCAGTTTCGTAAAAATCGGTTCTGATTTAGATATAGCTCCCATATATATTTTCGTCCGATTTAGTGTAAATGGTGTACCAAAGTCCCTAAATATTTTTCGATTTGCACAAAATTGCGCACAGCGTACTGAATTAAGCCTAGAATGTTGAGTGCAAAGTTTCGTGAAAATCGGTTCAGATTTAGATATAGCTCGCATATATATTTTCGTTCGATTTGAGGTAAATGGTGCACCAAAGTCCCTAAATATTTTACTATTTGCATGAAATTGGGCACGAAGTACTGAATTGATTCTAGAATGGAGTGTGCTCAGTTTCATAAAAAACGGCTCTGATTTAGATATAGCTCTCATATATATTTTCGTCCGATTTAATTTAAATGATACACCAAAGGACCTATACATCTCTCGATTTGCACGAAATTGGGCATAACGTACTGAATTGAGCCTAGAATGATGTCTATTTCGTGAAAATCGCTCCAGCTTTAAATATAGCTAACATATATATTTCCGTCCGATTTAACCTAAAAGGTGCACCAAAGTCCCTATATATCTTTCAATTGGCATGAAATTTGGCATAGCGTACTGAATTGAGTCTCTAATGATGTGTGCTGAGTTTCGTGAAAATCATTTCATATTTAGATATAGCTCCCATCTATATTTTCGTCAGATTTTATGTAAATTGTGCATTAAAGATACAAAGTTTGTCCGATTGAAACACAATTTTGTACAATGAACTTAGTTAATGTAAATTATAATAAACGGGTGTGTGGTTGATGTTTGCTTTAAATTAATGTACACCATTTTGTTTAATTGTAAGAAACAACTCTTAATCCGACCAAATGAAAAATTTAGGTTGCAGAATGTTATGTTTATGGATCCAATTTCATGTTAATGGCCTTTTGCGCCGTCTGTTAGGATTCATCTGTTGAATATACCCAAATTGGAGAAGGGCATCATATAGTCGGCCCGTACGACTTTATTACTTTCCTTATTGTTTTTTCTAATGCCGTCGTATTCCGATGTTCTAGCGAGAAGTTATCATGCCCGTCATGAAAAATAATGGCTTTTCTTTAATCACAAAGAAACAACAACAGTTTTTAATTATTATTTTTCTCATTTAAATCTTTAAATATAAATGTGCAATGTTACAAACCTTAACAAGCATTAGTATTCATTTATCAGCCCATTGAAAATCATGAGTATATATAAAATCGGAAAGGGGTCTCCTAAAATAGGTTTTCACGGTGCAATAGTGTTGTGCTTCATCGTCATACAAGTATTTCGCCGATGATCCTTTCCCGTGAGAAGTGCATCGAATGTTGGGAAATATATCGCTAAGAATGGCGTGTATTAAGTGTTGTCGAAATTTGTTCATATTTAGACAGAAAAATTGTTCTTGAGTACATTTGCTTGTTTAAGAATAATGCTAATACATCCGACCACACCCATCTACAGCCTTTATTTACTTGCCTTGTGTACATTATAGTGTAGGGGAAACTTAAAAGTGTCGGAACTTATTATATCCATTGAAATACGCCTTAACGTAACACCCGTTTACAAAGGAACTATTAAAGGATTTTTAATAAAACATAAAAATTAAATCTTAATTTTCCTCAACACCAAAAGAAGGCGGCAAAAAAGAAAAACGGAATATCATAAAAGAACTCACCACCTACCATTTGCTACATGTCTACAACACTCCGACATAGGGTTTGGGGAATTCAACAAATACACACCGTTTGTGTCTGGCATCGTCTGAGTAAATTTATTTTTATTTAACATTATAAATAATAATAAGTGTTGTTTTGTTGTTGCATTGCATTGCATTCGTTTTTCATTTGTTTTCCTAGTCTACCTTGGACCCTTTAAAAGTCATTTACTTCTTGTTTTTGTAATTCTCTTGGCTGTCGAATGAAGGTTCGTTACCATACACGCATTTCATAACAAAAGGACTTGGCTTTGAAATCACACATCGTTAACTCTCTCGGCTGTTGTACAATACACAAAATGACGACTAAAGAGAATTTGTTGCTGTTGTTGTCGTATTTTAGATGAAATGAATGAGTGAATGAATCATTTAGGCATATAAACAGGATGTAAATTTTATATTTTGAAGTCTAAGAAGAAGAAGGAGAAAACGAAGAGGGATAATGTTATGAATGAAAAGCCTATTTAAAGGTGACATTGAGACTCGGGTAAATGTTTCATTAACTATTTACATAGAGAAGTGGTTGTTGTTGTTTTTGGAGAGATTGCATTTTAAAGGACAGTGGGATTCAAAGGACATAAAAATGGAGAAATAACGTTATTTGGGATAATTTCCGTGTTTATTTTTTCAAATTTTTAATAAAACATTTAATTTTTCACATTAAGGTAATTTTCAACCCACTGTGTCTCGACTTTTACATTTGAATATAAAGAAAAATTGCAGTTTGTTGTTTTGAATAAAAAGCATATTATGTGCACACATTTTATGCAAAAAAATAAAACTGGGAGTAAAGGAGGAACACAAATCAACAACAACCGTTATGAATATTTAGAGTAGCCACAGTTTATGAATTTCTTTAGAATTCCGCCATTCGCCATGAACCTGACTACTACCAGAGAGGTTTAAAGAAATGAAGATGCAAATCTTTTTTTTTTCTTCTTGTTTTTGTTTTCTTCAGAGATAAATAAACCGTGACTATTTGCATCAGTAGTAGTAGTAGTGACGGTTGGTGACGTTTGCATGAAAAGAAAATTACTGTGTTAATTCTAGACAAAAACGAAGAATGATACCAGCATTTGCAGAAGAACCAGAACCATTTATGTCAGATGTGATGGCCTTACAAATGTCACAGTATGCTAGCATTTATTGTAAATAAAGTTGTTGTTAATGTTTACTAAAAGGCGGAATCTAAATTCTCTTGCCAGAGGAGCAGCCTGACATTGAAGGGCAACTTGAGAAAGTCGAATGCCAAAATAAGAGGGTAATTTATAAATGATCAAAAAAAGAATGTTGAAATAAAAATCATAGAAATAAGGCATAAAAAAACTTTTCTTTGGCGATTTTCACAGAAGTTCAAAAAACAAGCTTTGCACACCTAAGGAATTTTTCTCTAAATAGGCAACTTTGGGACTACGAGGAATTTGTTCAATATAAAACCAGTAAGGAAAGCAGGGACAAATTTCAATAAGGCACCCGTTCGAAATACATATGGAAACTATGGCTGCATCTGCACCAATTTCTACAGAACGCAATAACGTCATTCAAGTCTAAATTTTATACATTGT